TATAAAAAAGGGTCAATTTTAAAATGCATAGGTGTACAATTTTTGTGCCCATAACGTATTTTAAAAAACAAAAAAACCAGGATCAACTAAAAAATTTAAACTTTTTTAATTTGAAAAATAAAAGGATTTAAATTTTTTTGAAAAAAGTGACCCACCAAGAAATTAAAATTGAAAATTAATGAAAAATTGCAGACTGGGTTTTGCGGGATTCTTTTACAAAAAACAAATAAAAAAAAGTGCAACATCACTCACCCCCCAAAGCACCGGTTGGGGCCCCTACTCGAATCACTTTTAAATTTATTAGTTGTTTTTAAATTTTTAAATTACTAGGGGTTTTAAATTTTTGAAAAAAATATTGTTTTAAAAAAATTTCCCTTTGGACAGAGATTTAAACCGGTATTTGGTAATTTAAATAAATGTTTATTAAAAAATGCAATGTATTCAAGAAAATCCCCTTTTTTATTTAAATTAAACCCCAAGGTGATGTTAAAAATTCCCTTGCATTTACAAAACATTTATAAAAACCCGGGAAATTGCAGGGTAATTGTCGAAAATACCCCCCCTACCTGGCCAAAAAAGGGGTTTTTAAATCATAAATTATCAAAAGGGATTGTCTCCTTTGGTTTCGTAATTTTTAATGTTTTTTTTTTGGGAAAATTCTTTGAAACATTTGAATAAATTTTTTAAAAATTTCCCTTTCGAAAAACTTTACATGGTAAACAGTAGTAAAACGGTAATTTTTGGTTTTGGGACTTTGTATTTGGAGATTTTTGGGATACGGGTTGTTTTTGATTTTGGGTTACTTTTGAGAAAAATGACGGTGTTGTGTCTTTCAGTGGGGGAAAGTTGACACTGTTAGTTAAAGGGAGGTGGTACTTTGTGTGGTTGATGGTGGTTGTAACTGTTGTTGGGAAACTTGTTGATGTCATTTTTGTTGTCGTTGTTTGGGACTTTTGATGGCAGTGTTGTGCTTTCTGTCGGGGAAGTTAATACTGTTTAGTTGTGGATGTTGGAAATTTTGTGTGGTTGAATGGTGTTGTAACTTTGTTGGGGGTTTGTTGTTGTTGTTTTTGATGTCGTGCGCTTGACGTTGAAACTGAAAGGTGTTTGTGCTTTCATCGGTGTAAGTTGAGACTTGGAAGTCGTAGATGTTGAGCTTAGAGTAGACAGATGGTGTCCAACTAGTAGTTTTCAGATGTTGATAAACGTTGTTGGGTTGAAAGGTGTCGTTGGGAAGTACTTGTTTTTGTTGTTGTCTTTCGCTTGAAAGTTGATCGTCGTCGTTGTGCTAAACGTTGGAAATTGTGGGTGGAGTGGTTTGATAAACAGTTGAAAAGTTGTAGTTGTATTAGGTGTTGGTGGTTGTTTCCTGAACTTGGAACTGTTTAAAAGAAAAAATATTGTATAAATGATGAAGTTGGGCGGAATCACTGTCTTAACATAAATATAATTTTCGTTCAGTAACAAAGGGAAAATAATCTAAAAACATAAAGGAGTGTCTGTTTGTATTTTCCATGTTATGAATTATTTTGTTATCAATTTGAATTGTAATACAAGAAAGAGCATTGTCAAAGCATAAAGGGCGTCCAACAGGCAGGTGGCAATGAACTAGTAGATATATGATGACAAGATATTCTTATAAACTTTTTAAAAAATGGTTCATTTTGGGTTTTTACCAGAAAATTGTATACAACTTTTGAAAATGAACGGACGAAAAGAGACATTGTTCATTTAATTTATAACTTTGATCGGCATGCTAGAAAATTAGAATATTTGATTGTTTTTCTTTATGATCGTTGGGTTATTAATAGCAACGGATATACATGTATACAATCATTTATAATCCATATGTGTACACGCATGGATACAACACCAATACTTGTGTAATTGTCCTTAAATTAAGTGTTATCGGTAAATAGAGCAGGAGATACCCCCTCTTGGTGGGCCGGTATCTGTTCACAGAGCTAAGTTTAACAATATGACACTTGGGGATGGTTTACCCGGATGTTGATTCTGTTGAGCAATAATTTGTTTATTATTCAATAAATGTAAATTTCTATTTTTAATAAAAAAAATTACAGAATTTTTGAATATTGGGTTTTCTCTTTTCTTTTTTTTGTGTGTGTTTTATGCGCTCATTTTAATTACTGCAGCGTTCTTTACGTTTAACTACTATTTTAAGAAATTCAAATTTTGTCATAATAAATCGACGATTATAAGTCCAAAACTTAAACTGGAAAACAGTCAGTAAATCATGGTTAATCTTTCAATATATAATATTTGGTTTTATTCTTAAAAAACCATATACATGTACATTTGTATTTTTCTTTAATCATTTTTTAAATTAAAATCAATCAATTGAAATAATTCATAAAAATCTGATTTGTAACTTTGAATAATTCCTCGGAATATTTACTTAAACACGAATAACAAATTAAATAAAAATGTTTTAAAGGGTTGATAGTGTCCATATTAATGGCCTAAAAATGTAACATTTTTTCTCAAATTATTGTTAAGGCATATTTATTGTTTTTAAAATCTCATATAAATTTAAAATATAGACATGCAATTTGTGTTGTTGGTTTTTTTTTTTTTCGAATTGTTATGTTTATGTATAATAATAATCAATCAATTCGAGAGTTGATCTGTGTTTATTAATTATTGTAACCAAACTAAGTGACAAACATTCATTTTGAAAAAAAGCTTATTTATCTGTAAAATATTTGTTTTGTTCTGTAATACGATATCAAACATCTACTCCAAAACCGGGAGAGACCGGACAATAAACGTGTGGTAACTATTCGCCGGTCATTAGTAAATCCCGGGAGAGACCGGGAAATTACCATAGGAGTAATCCCTCTATAAATAGATTTTCGGAATATTTAGGTCCATCAACTCATCATTCTATTACAGCTTTTCGGAATAACATACCATAATAACCCAGCTGTGTACTACAAAAAGATAAGCAAATAATACCCCCGAAGAGCGCGATTTATTGACGGAAAAGGTTAAATTTAATTTGAAAATGTTTGCATTGCGGAAAATTCTCCGTTCGCCATTTCATTGTACATATCGCGACTTATTAATAATCAAGCACCCTCATACCCGATCGGAATGATCGGCTTTATTAAATTTGGCACTATAAAAGGCCCTCGAGAAGTTGCCTGTTCGCCCTTTCCACAAAAATCTCATTTCATTTCCAATAGGCGCCGCGCCCGGCGGCGCTTCGGCCGGCGGACGCCCAACCCAAATATAAAATCACAAAGTTTCGGCAATAATACTTTGAAGAGAACAATGTCGATTATATGAACTAATGAAACTGTAAGCACTATTATTTACTACAGGAATAAAAAGTATAACCTCTGAAACAACCATGGATGCTTAGTTTGAAAGCCTTTGCCTCATTTATTACCACTTCTATAGTTATTTGTCTAACTTCTTTTACAAATACAGATGAAGAGCTAGTTGAAAGATTCTGAAAAGTTGAATCATAATTGACATAAAGTTTCTGATTTTGCATTCTGCTCTTTTGACAGTGGTCAATTTATTACATAGACATAATCTTAAGATGTATATGAGTTATGACGATACATATATTGATTATTGAAATTTCAAAATTGGAAATACTTCAAAATGATAGCAGTTAATATAAAAATAGCGTTAAGGCAATGGAATCGCATACATATGTCTTGAAATCAAATTGAATAGTTTTTCAAATGTTGGCATAAATTGATCAATAAATTACGTTTTTCCTTTCGATAAAACTTTTCTATAATGTCTTTTGATATATTAGATGTTGACATTGCTCGATTTCCTCCAACATTCATAAGTATAACGTTATAAGGCAAATATAAATTCAAGATTTAAGTTTTAATAGTGAAAATTGACAGTCTTCCTCTGTGAACGAAATATTTACAGAAATTGAAACGTAAGAGCACGGAAAATTGAATACTAACATAACTTCAAAAGTATACCCTTATTTGTTCTTATAAATGAGTACAGTTCAAAATACGAAATTGTATTTTTATGTTCTCAAGCTTGTCTTTCTGTATTATCAATAAAAGAAATTAAAAAAACCTTAATAACAAATCTAATAATAATAAATTATGTCTTTACATCTTCCGACATACAAGGATATTTTTCTGCAATTTAGCTTGTGTTGTAATCTAAACAAAGGAGAAGGAAACTTACTTCTTCTACTAGTGTTTTGTTTTTCCTTTCCAGTGTCACAGCGTACTGAATGTTTTCTGAAGGATTATTCGTGATTAATTTTACATCTGTAATGTTGATGGCATCCACTGCTATATTAATAATGAAAACGTATGGTACCGAGATTGTCGGTGTAACTTTAAAATAGTCATCAGTATCCGGACGCAGATTATCTGTCGTTGTTCCATCAGAAGTTAAGTCACGACCTTGCCCGTCTGTTACACTTATATCTTTACTCTTGGTATAATTTGAGGAAGTCTCCATTCCTTCTTCGTCGCAATAACTTGGGGTCGTTGCTGATGTGGTAGACTGTGTAGTTGTCTTTGAAGTTGATGATGGTGTAGTTACTGTTGTTGGGGTTGTTGTTCTTGTTGAAGCAGAACTGGAATGATAGTATGGTGTCGAGCTTATGGTTGGAGGCGTTGATGAAGGCGTTGTAGTGCTTGACGTTGACGAAGGTGTTGTGCTTTCAGTCGGGGTATTTGATATTGTAGTTGTGGCTGTGGTACTTTGTGTGGTTGATGGTGTTGTAACTGTTGTCGGGGTTGTTGTTGTCGTTTTTGATGTCGTGCTTGACGTTGATGAAGGTGTTGTGCTTTCAGTCGGGGTAGTTGATACTGTAGTTGTGGGTGTGGTACTTTGTGTGGTTGATGGTGTTGTAACTGTTGTCGGGGTTGTTGATGTCGTTTTTGATGTCGTGCTTGACGTTGATGAAGGTGTTGTGCTTTCAGTCGGGGAAGTTGATACTGTAGTTGTGGGTGTGGTACTTGGTGTGGTTGATGGTGTTGTAACTGTTGTTTGACTTGTTGTTGTCGTTTTTGATGTCGTGCTTGACGTGGACGAAGGTGTTGTGCTTTCAGTCGGGGTAGTTGATACTGTACTTATGACTGTGGTACTTTGTGTGGTTGATGGTGTTGTAACTGTTGTCGGGGTTGTTGTTGTCGGTTTTTGATGTCGTGCTTGACGTGGATGAAGGTGTTGTGCTTTCAGTCGGAGTAGTTGATACTGTAGTTGTGGAGGTGGAACTTTGTGTGGTTGATGGTGTTGTAACTGTTGTTGGACTTGTTGATGTCGTTTTTGATGTCGTGCTTGACGTTGATGAAGGTGTTGTGCTTTCTGTAGGGGTAGTTGATACTGTAGTTGTGGAGGTGGTACTTTGTGTGGTTGATGGTGTTGTAACTGTTGTCGGGGTTGTTGTTGTCGGTTTTGATGTCGTGCTTGACGTGGATGAAGGTGTTGTGCTTTCAGTCGGAGTAGTTGATACTGTAGTTGTGGAGGTGGAACTTTGTGTGGTTGATGGTGTTGTAACTGTTGTTGGACTTGTTGATGTCATTTTTGATGTCGTGCTTGACGTTGATGGAGGTGTTGTGCTTTCTGTCGGGGAAGTTAATACTGTAGTTGTGGATGTGGTACTTTGTGTGGTTGATGGTGTTGTAACTGTTGTTGGGGTTGTTGTTGTTGTTTTTGATGTCGTGCTTGACGTTGATGAAGGTGTTGTGCTTTCAGTCGGGATAGTTGAGACTGAAGTCGTAGATGTTGAGCTTAGAGTAGACGATGGTGTCCAACTAGTAGTTTCAGATGTTGATAACGTTGTTGTTGAAGGTGTCGTTGAAGTACTTGTTTTTGTTGTTGTACTTTCGCTTGAAGTTGATGCTGTCGTCGTTGTGCTAAACGTTGGAATTGTGGGTGGAGTGGTTGTAACAGTTGAAGTTGTAGTTGTATTAGGTGTTGGTGTTGTTCCTGAACTTGGAACTGTTTAAAGAAAAATATATGTATAAATAGATGAGTTGCGGAATCACTCTTAATCATAAATATATTTTCGTTCAGTAACAAAGGAAAATATCTAAAAACATAAAGAGTGTCTCGTTTGTATTTCATGTTATGATTATTTGTTATCATTTGAATTGTAATACAAACATAAATCACAAAGTTCGGCAATAATACTGAAGAGAACAATCGATTATATGAACTATGAAACTGCACACTATTGTAACTCTAGGAATAAAATGTATACCTCTGAAACAACCATGCATGCTTAGTTTGAAAGCCTTAGGCTCATTTATAACCACTTCTATAGTTATTTGCTTAACTTCTTGTACAAATATAGATGAAGAGCTCGTTGAAAGATTCTGAAATATTGAATCATAATTTACATTAAGTTTCTGATTTTGCGTTCTGCTATTCTCACAGTGGTCATTTTATTACATAGACATAATCTTAAGATGTATATGACGATACATATATTGATTATTGAAATTTCAAAATGGGAAATACTTCAAATTGATAGCAGTTTAATATAAAAAAAACGTTAAGGCAATAAAATCGCATACATATGTCTTGAAATCATATTGAATAGTTTTTCAAATGCTGGTATAAATTGATCAATAAATTACGTTTTTCCTTTTCGATAAATTTTGTTCTACAATGTCTTTTGATATATTACATGTTGACATTGATCGATTTCCTTCAACATTCAAAGTATACCATTATGAGGCAAATAATAATTCAAGATTTAAGTTTTAATAGTGAAAATTGACAGTCTTCCTCCGTGAACGAAATATTTACAGAAATTGAAACGTAAAAGCAACAGAAAATTGAATACTAACATCACTTCAAAAGTTTTCCCTTATATGCTCTTAAATATGAGTACAGTTCAATATACGAAATTGTATTTTTATGTTCTCAAGCTTGTCTTTCTGTATTATCAATAAAAGAAATTAAAAAAACCTTAATAACAAATCTAATAATAATAAATTATGTCTTTACATCTTCCGACATACAAGGATATTTTTCTGCAATTTAGCTTGTGTTGTAATCTAAACAAAGGAGAAGGAAACTTACTTCTTCTACTAGTGTTTTGTTTTTCCTTTCCAGTGTCACAGCGTACTGAATGTTTTCTGAAGGATTATTCGTGATTAATTTTACATCTGTAATGTTGATGGCATCCACTGCTATATTAATAATGAAAACGTATGGTACCGAGCTTGGTGGTGTAACTTTAAAATAGTCATCAGTATCCGGACGCAGATTATCTGTCGTTGTTCCATCAGAAGTTAAGTCACGACCTTGCCCGTCTGTTACACTTATATCTTTACTCTTGGTATAATTTGAGGAAGTCTCCATTCCTTCTTCGTCGCAGTAACTTGGGGTCGTTGCTGATGTGGTAGACTGTGTAGTTGTCTTTAAAGTTGATGATGGTGTAGTTACTGTTGTTGGGGTTGTTGTTCTTGTTGAAGCAGAACTGGAATGATAGTATGGTGTCGAGCTTATGGTTGGAGGCGTTGATGAAGGCGTTGTAGTGCTTGACGTTGACGAAGGTGTTGTGCTTTCAGTCGGGGTATTTGATATTGTAGTTGTGGCTGTGGTACTTTGTGTGGTTGATGGTGTTGTAACTGTTGTCGGGGTTGTTGTTGTCGTTTTTGATGTCGTGCTTGACGTTGATGAATGTGTTGTGCTTTCAGTCGGGGTAGTTGATACTGTAGTTGTGGGTGTGGTACTTTGTGTGGTTGATGGTGTTGTAACTGTTGTCGGGGTTGTTGATGTCGTTTTTGATGTCGTGCTTGACGTTGATGAAGGTGTTGTGCTTTCAGTCGGGGAAGTTGATACTGTAGTTGTGGGTGTGGTACTTGGTGTGGTTGATGGTGTTGTAACTGTTGTTTGACTTGTTGTTGTCGTTTTTGATGTCGTGCTTGACGTGGACGAAGGTGTTGTGCTTTCAGTCGGGGTAGTTGATACTGTACTTATGACTGTGGTACTTTGTGTGGTTGATGGTGTTGTAACTGTTGTCGGGGTTGTTGTTGTCGGTTTTGATGTCGTGCTTGACGTGGATGAAGGTGTTGTGCTTTCAGTCGGAGTAGTTGATACTGTAGTTGTGGAGGTGGAACTTTGTGTGGTTGATGGTGTTGTAACTGTTGTTGGACTTGTTGATGTCGTTTTTGATGTCGTGCTTGACGTTGATGAAGGTGTTGTGCTTTCTGTAGGGGTAGTTGATACTGTAGTTGTGGAGGTGGTACTTTGTGTGGTTGATGGTGTTGTAACTGTTGTCGGGGTTGTTGTTGTCGGTTTTGATGTCGTGCTTGACGTGGATGAAGGTGTTGTGCTTTCAGTCGGAGTAGTTGATACTGAAGTCGTAGATGTTGAGCTTGAAGTAGACGATGGTGTCCAACTAGTAGTTTCAGATGTTGATAACGTTGTTGTTGAAGGTGTCGTTGAAGTACTTGTTTTTGTTGTTGTACTTTCGCTTGAAGTTGATGCTGTCGTCGTTGTGCTAAACGTTGGAATTGTGGGTGGGGTGGTTGTAACAGTTGAAGTTGTAGTTGTATTAGGTGTTGGTGTTGTTCCTGAACTTGGAACTGTTTAAAGAAAAATATATTTATACAGAGATGACAATCTTATATGCATATTCTATTTTCGTTCAGTAACAAAGGAAAATATCTAAAAACATAAAGAGTGTCTCGTTTGTATTTCATGTTATGATTATTTGTTATCATTTGAATAGTAATACAAACATAAATCACAAAGTTCGGCAATAATACTGAAGAGAACAATCGATTATATGAACTATGAAACTGCACACTATTGTAACTCTAGGAATAAAATGTATACCTCTGAAACAACCATGCGTGCTTAGTTTGAAAGCCTTAGGCTCATTTATAACCACTTCTATAGTTATTTGCTTAACTTCTTGTACAAATATAGATGAAGAGCTCGTTGAAAGATTCTGAAATATTAAATCATAATTTACATTAAGTTTCTGATTTTGCGTTCTGCTCTTCTCACAGTGGTCATTTTATTACATAGACATAATCTTAAGATGTATATGACGATACATATATTGATTATTGAAATTTCAAAATGGGAAATACTTCAAATTGATAGCAGTTTAATATAAAAACCGTTAAGCAATAAAATCGCATACATATGTCTTGAAATCATATTGAATAGTTTTTCAAATGCTGGTATAAATTGATCAATAAATTACGTTTTTCCTTTTCGATAAATTTTGTTCTACAATGTCTTTTGATATATTACATGTTGACATTGATCGATTTCCTTCAACATTCAAAGTATACCATTATGAGGCAAATAATAATTCAAGATTTAAGTTTTAATAGTGCAAATTGATAGTCTTCCTCCGTGAACGAAATATTTACAGAAATTGAAACGTAAAAGCAACAGAAAATTGAATACTAACATCACTTCAAAAGTTTTCCCTTATATGCTCTTAAATATGCGTACAGTTCAATATACGAAATTGTATTTTTATGTTCTCAAGCTTGTCTTTCTGTATTATCAATAAAAGAAATTAAAAAAACCTTAATAACAAATCTAATAATAATAAATTATGTCTTTACATCTTCCGACATACAAGGATATTTTTCTGCAATTTAGCTTGTGTTGTAATCTAAACAAAGGAGAAGGAAACTTACTTCTTCTACTAGTGTTTTGTTTTTCCTTTCCAGTGTCACAGCGTACTGAATGTTTTCTGAAGGATTATTCGTGATTAATTTTACATCTGTAATGTTGATGGCATCCACTGCTATATTAATAATGAAAACGTATGGTATCGAGATTGTCGGTGTAACTTTAAAATAGTCATCAGTATCCGGACGCAGATTATCTGTCGTTGTTCCATCAGAAGTTAAGTCACGACCTTGCCCGTCTGTTACACTTATATCTTTACTCTTGGTATAATTTGAGGAAGTCTCCATTCCTTCTTCGTCGCAATAACTTGGGGTCGTTGCTGATGTGGTTGACTGTGTAGTTGTCTGTGAAGTTGATGATGGTGTAGTAACTGTTGTTGGGGTTGTTGCACTTGTTGAAGTAGAACTAGAAGGAGAGTATGGTGTCGAGCTTGTAGTTGGAGTTGTCGATGTTGTAGTTGTAGATTTGGAAGTCGTCGTTGACGAGGGTGTTGTGGTTTCTGTTGGTGTTGTTGACACTGAAGTCGTAAATGTGGAGCTAGGAGTAGAGTATGTGGTCGTTATTGATGTTGTGGAAGAAGAGCTGTAAGAAGATGATGGTGTCGAGCTTGTAATTGGAGTTGTGGACGAAGAAGTAGACGTAGTAATTGTTGGTGTTGAAGTTGATGCAGTTGTAGTATTCGCTGAAAGTACGATATATTTTATAATGTCGGATGTCATTGATGTTTATATCATTTCTGTTTTTATTCAAACTATAAACTGCTGCAAATTTGTACATTTGATTTCGCAAATACTTTCAACAATAATTTAATCATTCTGTAAAGAGACTCGTTAATGAAATTGTACAGGATACTCGTACATATGTTTAAATTAACTAGCGGACCTGGGTTTCATATATACTTTAATTTTGCTACTTTTATTAAAACATTCAAAACAGTTTATGAAAAGAGATCATACACTATGAATTTTTTTGTGGTTTTTTTTTTGCTTACATTAATATGTTACGTAAAGTTTTGTTTAAAGAGTGGTGCATTTTAATATTGATAGAGAACATCGTGATTGTATGTACTGTGAATCAATGTTAGAGGACGAATATCACTTTCTTATTGTGTGTTCTTTATATGAAAATTTACGTTCTTACTATATACCATTGTATTATTATCAATATCCGAATGATCAAAAATTCTACTCTTTTATGGCAACTGAAGACGAGTCATTGATACGTAATGTTGCTATGTATATTTATTATGCAATGAAAGAAAGGGATAATTTTCTTAAATGTTTTGAATAATTTATATTCAAATTGTATTTTATCATTGTATTAGAAATTCGTATTGCCAATTTGTATTGTATATTGTATACACTGTGTATGGGCCGGAGGCCTCTTGTACAATAAAGATATTGAATTGAATTGGTGCTGCACGAAAATCTTCATCGTAGTATTATTTTATTAATATATAATGTAACACAAATTTATTAACACTTTTAGACGGTGGAATGTGATTTTTTAAAACAAGTAACTGATGGTTAAACATCAACAGACTCATTCAGTGATAATTTAGGAACCTAAAATATCACATAGCACGCGCATATTGGTGAAAGTTTTGTAGTTAATTATTTTAGTATGTTTTTTATCGAATAAATACGCATGTACATACTGCATCCCAATTCATCTTCACATGACATGCAGTCGCAATTCTCTGGACCATTACATATTTGCTCAGGTGGTATACAAGTTCCGTCCTCACATGTATACATTCCAGGTAGACAAGGTGTAACAGTTGTTGTACCTGAAAGAAGAAACAATTCATTCTAGACAACCTCTGTACAATATGACGTATAAATGCAGAATTGCTTTAGGATTACAAAACTATTTCGTACGTATGAATGAAATCACATTTTAATGAGGAAAACAAATATTTAGTTCAATATTATGTCGTTTAGTGAGCTATAAATATTCTATTCCAATACTAATATCAAATTTAGCACACAAGTTAAAAGGGGTTGCTAGAATTATATGTACAGTTGATAAAAACTTTCACATTTGTCGGAAGCTGTGTTATTTTAGTCAATGAAAATGTAAAATTCAGAGCTTATTGATTCTTAACTCCTGAGAGATTTATGAAATGTCCATTTTCAATATTCTTGATATAAAAAAGTAAATCTGAAGTTTGTTAGCTTACTATAAAGAGCCTGGTAGTAAAACACATATTTGTAGCTATCAGTTTCTCTACTTGTAAAAGGGTTTCTAAGCGAACAGCATGGATCCTGATCAGACTACACGGATACGCAGGCTGGCCTGGATCTATGCTGGTCGCAAAGCCCATTACGTTGGTTTTGTAATTGTAATAAAAAAACTGTAAGCTTACAACTAGCCCTTTTGTAAATCAGATGGTAAGTATAATTCAAAAGAAGGAATGAAAAAAACGAAACATTAGTTCGTTTGGTTCTAACCATCAAGCATCCTATCAACATTACATTTGGAGCAAGAATTGTGTTACATAAATAGATAATAGTACATGTAAGTTAATGTTGTTACATATCCTGGGTTACAAGTATTGATTGAAATAGGTCAGAAATATTTTTAAAACTTTACAAATTGTACCTCACAAAAGTAAAATTTTATATCAGATTCAATCAACCGAGAATGTCAATTTTACTTAATCTTAGCCATTCTTTATTTAAGAAAGATGTTTTACCACAGGCAAGGTTTGGTAAGTAAATTATCTTAGGCACGAAGTACTGGGTAAAAAAGTGTAAGAAAATATTATTAAATGAATTCCTCTCATAACCGTAGCTTGCCAATATATCACAGTCATTCAAATAAGATGAAAATAAAGATAAAGCGAATATCTTTAATTTTATAAGACGTAATTATACGTTTAAGTCATACGATACGACTAAGAAAGCTTTGTGTAGAATGTCAGTATTCTGTGTGCCAGAGTGATTTGATTTAATACCTCTTGCGGTTATTTTGTGCAGCGAAGCTGAAGGTACCAAGAATATGCACAACAAGGGATACTCCTGATCACTCATGTGAAGTTTCATTGAAATCCCACCAGCGGTTTGCCCTGTGAAAGTCGGACAAGCCTAATGTGGAGGGACGGACGGACGACCAGACGGACGGACAGACGGCAAAGGCAAAACAATGTCTCCCAAAATTTTTGGGAGACATAATTCTTGAATTGTAGTGCCGATAACAACGCTTAGGGCACACATCCCCCACGATATATATGGCTTGAAAAGTTGCGAATCTCAAAGCAATATAGAACGTTTAAATGCTTCAACAAAGTTAACCTACATTAAATAATTAAATAGATAATACAGAAACGTTCATTTTATGAAAAGGACTACATTAAAGTAAGTGGTCTGTGTCATCTTTCGGAACTTCTTTAAATGCGGAATAATAAATCAGATTCAAGGTATGGATACGTTAGCTCAAAATCTTTTCTGGCGTCAGAATAAGGAAAGTAAAATTGACTCGTGAACGCATCTGGTGCTGTTCCTAAATTCAAACTTTTAACATTTTCATATCTAAATCGTCACTGTAGTGCAGAATTGAATAAGGAGTTAATCTGTTACTGCACTGTGATAAAATGTTCAAGGCTGTTTAAGATGGAGCGTTAGGCGTGGACGGAACCTTGCAATATCCACTAGCGTACAAAAAAATTAAACATTTCGGTACAAAAAAATTAAACATTTCGGACAAAGAAATGAGGTGAGATTGGATGTTACATAGAAATATCTAAAGACTAACTTTGAAAACATTTATATACACTTTATTTTAACACGTTACGCATAACCTACGAACTGTACAGCGCATGATTGGAACACATAGAGCCATTATGTTTAACCTTCAAACATTAGAGCTGGAAGAAGATTGAGTGGCATACATCCATCCAATGAAATTTTGTAATTCTATTAATAATATTTACCTGTTGTTGTTGTGAAAATTGTTGTTGTTGTTGGAGCAGTCGTCGTTGGCGTCGTTGTGGCTGTAATGTAAAATATACATATATAAATACATATTAATTATTCTTGTTAGAATCGAAATAATATCGGTCTGAGCGGTTTATAATCGACTATTTAACACTGGGTTTGTCGTTTTGATGCGAAACACATTAACCACGCAGGCGCACGGTCTTCGTGGTCAATTTTTGTCGTTTTGATGCGGAAAAAGAATAAACCACTCAGGCCTACTATCTTCGTGGTCAATTCCTACGCATCAAAACTTCAAACCGGTGTTTAAGAGCAGATAACACCATTCACTTAAATAAACTTACTTTCGCATTCCAGTTCGTCATCATCGATGGGAGGATCGCATTCAAATACACCATTACATTTCTTGTAGCATGTTGTCATGTCTGGACATAGTTTTTCATCATAATTACACGTGACCTGAAAACAAATTACAAGATTTTGTTTGAGTAAAGGTTCTCACCATGAATACATACAGGAATGTGTACATGTATACGTACGTTGTAACAGTTTGATAGGAATAAAGTATTTCATCATAATTACATACGAATATAACCTGAACATTATCGTGCTTTCAGGAATTGTAAAAAAGGGCATAATTTATATTACAGTTTTCCTGAAAGTATTGCACGAAGGTAGTTTGTTAGATTGTTATTATATTTTGTGTGGGGTTAAGGTTGTAGTTTTTACTTTAATCCCATCTAATGTCAACCATGATGGCTGGAAATATAATACAACTAAGGGGGCAGGCCCGCAGGGGACATATTCGAATGATGGCCCCGGTCAAATTTTTTAATAACTCAGACATGGTGTCTTGAAGGTACTGATAACTTCTGAAATTTCTCTGTCATTGTAATTCTTTCTTGTTTGTGTGTAGGAAATGAGATATTTTTTGGGGTTTTTTACCCGAAACTAAGCATTTTGGTAGCTTTGTATGTATTTCTGACTCTCCGAATGGAGGTGAAAAAGTTAAAAATCAATCTTTGACAGTTGGCGCCAATCAAGTAAAAAATTTCAGATAAATTTTGTGAAAAATCTAAACGTATGACAGACACTTTATTTGTCATTTGTGAAAATGCCAAAGCTTGCACTGCGTGTTACTGATATTTTTAAAGGAATCGGGCGGATTCTGGAGTACGCTGCACCTTCATGAAGATTGCCCATATCGGTATATTTTAGGTGTGATTTTGGCTGGGTGGTGGTAAATATAAATTGATGTCAGTCATTTTTTGAAGGAACAATGCATGCAAACTATTATTTTCTTCAATGTATGTCATATATCATTGAATAATGCTTTGCAACTGGTTATCTGCCTGTGAAACATATTTTGAAATATTTGGAATTGTGTTTCTGGTAACACTAAAATACAAAATTTTTCATTTTTAGGTCCCCTGCCCCCTAACCTCCTCTAACACATAATATTATGCTTAGACGTAGTTTAGTAACGGTGTTGTCTTCAGAACAATACAACTTAATCACAATCAGGCCTGTAAAGTTTGAACTGATTCTTTATAGGAGTGAAGCTAATTTTTAAATCTAACCGAGAGTAAGGACTACCAAAGCGATGTATGGTTAAGATTTGTCATCAAAAAATAATGCTGCATTCAAAAAACCCGCGCGTTAAAAAAAACCAGCGTCATACTTTTACCAGTCATAAAAGATAATTGCCATCTGTGAAGCTCTGTCAATTATACTTGCGAAAATCTAAATAAGAAATCCTAGATTTGACATAAAATTCATAAAATTCTAGTATCACTCACAGTGGTAGATGATGTATATTCTGTTGTTGATGATGTTGAATATGGTGTTGTCGTGGTAGTTGAAAATGTTGTTGTTGTAGTCATCACTACAAAAAACAGGTGAAATCAAATGATAATACTATCTAAGGTTTACTTTCGTTAAAGGGACTCGGCTATGCTTTTTTTTGTTTGTTTTTTTTGTTTGAAACGCCAAGACTACTGTAGAAATATTTTCTCGCAATTTGTATATTATTTGATTAAGGCCTGGACCAAACACTTGTATGCAAATTTTAGTATCATTCCCCTAACACGATCTGCTATAATACTCATTTTTTTGTTTTGCAAAATAACCTTAAAAGGAAAAGATTGTACAGTAATTGGATAGCTCGGCCATACGTCGAAATTAATTTGAAAAGGGTTACAACGCTTTTCACTAAAATCGGACTAAGAATCACATAAAGAATTGATATTCAATTTAATTCTGAATATTTTAGCCACGTCACGACAAAACCAACATAATGGGTTTGCAACCAGCATGGATCGCGACCAGTCTGCGCGTCCGCGCAGGCTGGTCTGGATCCATGCTGCACGCAAACGCATTAGCTTGGTTTTGTCGTGACGCGGCTCGTAAAAATAAATGATTATTCAGATATTCCCATACCAAGTACTTAACTTGATCTAGGCAAAAATTTCAAATTTTATGTTTCAATACTCTCTGGTCTCTGCAGAGCTCTTTTAAGGAAACAACTATATCTTGTGGGTAGAAATCATTCGTATTTCTTGTGGGTAGAAATCGTTCGTATTTCTTGTGGGTAGAAATCATTCGTATAATATTTACTGTTTTGAAAGAAAAAAATGAAATAGCCCTTTACATTTGAATTTGCATTCACATAAAAGTTAACATTAATAACAAGTTTAATTAATTAATTTTTTAATGTAAACAAACATACCCTCTTCTTCAACACAAAGTTGTAACAACACGTTTTTCACGTACGGACGATCATTTTCAGAATATGCATCTGAGAGCTTCTTGAAATAGATCGTAAATGTTGTGCCCATAAATGTCTTATGTGGACGATACTCAGTTGTCGACTCCTCATTTGGGTTGTCAATAGTTTTAAGCTGAAAGAGAAACAACCAGTCAATTATGGTGGCTAATTTGGAACGCCTTTGTGCGTCGTGTTGGCGCTAGAGAGAACATGACAAAGCGGAAAACGGTGCGTTGTCGGACTTGTGTCTTCTCGTCCTGTCGCTAACGATGTACGCCAAACAGCGTGTTGTCTTGTGGGGTGTTGTCACGATGTCACATTGTCGCTCGGTTCAAATCGAAGGATTGGCTTATAAGCCAGGCGACAGGGCGACATCACGATTACGCGCCGCACGACAACATGCCGTTTGGCGAACTTCGCTAGAGGCAGGACGACAAGACGACAGATATAAATACCGCCGTTCCTATGACAAATTTAGTTCAAATAATTCAATTATATTTTTAAAACACATGTGATATTTCATGTTATTTTTCACAGTGAACACGACTGAATATCCTTTTTATGTAAAATGTCACGTGAAGAACATAAACTATGACTTGTGAAGAGCATTTATATTAATTACAATATAAATTAGATCTTACCAAATAAAAAGAGCATAAAAACGATAAAAATAATTTTAAACGCCAAAACCTTATCATTATCATACATTGTACAAAGAATCAAAACTTATAGATTTTGTACAAATGAAATTTATTTATAAAAATACCGTAGGCTTAGGAACTACTCTGTGCCGCGGCGTATCCGAAATTGCATGCTATCAGTTTGTTTACTTGGATTGTACGATTTCTAATTGCCTATTATTATATAACTGTATTCATGTTCCTTAGCACAGAATAAAAAAAATACCCTAAACAAAGGAAATACACTCACAATTGAATTATCATCGAAAAAGAACTGTACGATGTTCACGTATTTTGTGGTCAGCCTAATCATGTTGACCGAAGCATTCTTCAACGACAAGTAACTGATAAAGTCCGGCCTAATTGAACTTGTTGATAGGTAGTAGATAGCCTCTGGGTCTGAGCTTATAGCTTTTAATATCGAGCCATCGTCATCAATACCCGACACTGACACAGAATAATTGCTGAGGGTGTCTCCACTGATATCATCGGGGTCAACACAAACCACTGAAACATAAACAGCAAATGTGTCTTAAAGAAAGAACAACAGAGGAAAACAACCGCGTTGATTTCCATCTTCAATTAACTTTTGTTTCTAGAAAATAATATCGTTAGTTTTTGAAAACAATCTTTAAAAAAAATCAAATACAAGATTTGAAGTAAATGATAGAGTGGTCTGAAAAGGAAACAGAAAATTCGTAACAGTAAATTCTGTGAGCGGCATAAAAATTTAAAGGCAATTTAGCAACAAGGAATTTATTATCTTTAATTGAATGGCCATGGCATTTTCCTAGCTTTGCCTCTATCAACCATTCATGCAATGCTTTACCGGTTACACTTTAAACACTATTTACATGACAATTTTGAATGGTGAAGAACAACCCTCCTTCTGCAAAGAAATGATAGTTATACACTCATAATACAGTCTACTCTTTTTAGAGTAATAGAAGTTTATTTTTATTGTTTTAAAAGTTTTACCGTAAGGAGTTGTCGACGAAGTTGTCGAAGTTGTGTATGGTGTTGTAGATGGCGTTATTGTCGCGGTTGATGACGAATACGGTGTAGTGGTCACTTCTGAAACAGATGAAGAATTGAATATTCAAATGGTTGTTTAAAACTTTTGTTAAGTGTAAACACGTGCGTGGCAGAAATATTTTATTCTTTTAAAATTTGATTCTTAATCAATTCTATAAAACCATAACGATATGGACAGTAGGTAAGTTGTGAACTTGTCATAAACCAAAGTTATAAACGTAAATCTAAAAATTGAGTCAGAATTTATTATGAAAATAACTGAATGTATTCATATGTATACACATGTATATTACGTATGTAACCGAAGTAAGTTCAAGTGAGAGGATATAAAGAATAACTAAGGCAAATGAAGCGGACAGTAACGACACATTTTTTTTTGTAATATCTTTATATAAAACTAAAGCAAAAATGGCTTTTGTTATTTTTATTTTAAGTATTTTTGTCAGTGAAAGCGTGTTTTGCCACTGTGAAGCCATTATTTAATAAATTTCTAATATGGTTGCTTGCAAACATGCCTTTAACGGTCCATAATCTTTAAATTTTGATGAAAATATTCTATAATAATATTTAACTGGAACGAACAGCGATCTACTAAACTTGAAAAGTAAGAATGTATACCGGCGCATTAAGAATAATAGGTACTTTGAAAAGATAACATCAATATAGACGTTTACCTGGGTTGCACACCTCGATGTTCAAGTCGGTTATCGTCACTGGTTGTGACAGTATCACTAAAGTAACTTTTATAACTCTTGCTGGAATACCATGTTCGTTTTCAATAAAAACTATTCCACCTTGATTCACGCTGAAAGTTTCTGTCTTCTGTAATAACAAATTTGATTATTTATTTAGACTATTTCTATTATTGCAACAACCTTAACGGTCCTTTAGAATTACAGGCAATGGTGTCTTCTTGTAGCAAAGACAAATGTGATGGTTCAATAAGAATTACACAGTAGACACTCTTGCGTTGCCAAATTCAGACGTCCTAGAATTGAACATACGGAATCTTAAACACACAGCGAGACAGTAACTGATACAACTTTTAATCCCCCCACCGCCCTGAATTCTTGACATGGATTTGTCCTGCTTCAAATTTAAAATTGTCTTATTTTAAGTTCAGGGATTTCAATATAAAACGCAAAGCTATAAATTATAATATAGAAACAGGCAAGTGACAAAGGTAAGTCACTCTTTGTGCGAGCAGTTTAAGTGTTTGCTATAACCAGGTTTAAAATCAACAAACACCTTTTTGTGTACGACGCTGACATACAAACCACCACTGTCTTATCAGATGCCGATGGAGTACATACTTAAAATAGGATTAAAATCATAACGCATCGTTATTTTTTTTCAGAAAGCCTCCTTGGTAATAAATTATAAAAGTGTTTTCTACTTATGGTGTTTTATTTCCTAAGTAGTCTTACCTCAGGCCCTATCATGTTTTCATTTAGGAAATATTGCACGTCCAATGACAGCACTTGTCCTTTGTTAACATTAAAAGATACCGCGGTCACTCGCTCTTCTTCGTCAAATCTAAATATGAGCTCATTAACACCGAAAGGAACGTCGATGGTGTGAAGATCTGACAAATATTTGTTCACGACCGTATTGCCAGCTTGGACCACAATAGATGTGTCTATCATCTCCGATCTACAAGCTGCAATAAAAAAATCTCTTAGCTCAAACAAACTGTCACAATGTAACTATAGCAGGACGGTGGACCTTAAAAATAACAAGCTTTGAAAAATGAAAATAAAAGCATTTATGGGGCATAATTTGTCTTTGTTCTTTACAATTTATTAAGACATCACTCACTATCAAAAATGTCAAGACTCAAAAATATTACTCACTATGATATCACTTACCATAACACATCCTCAGATCTATTTGTATCTCTGGTGATATTTCAATCGATGGTGATTTATGTATCATTATAACCATTGACGTCACTTCCTTGGCGTTATAATATGTCGACATCGACGTCACATCCTTTGTCTGTAAAAATTGTATCATACATTATTATTAAACTTTGTGGTTTCGGTCTCTTAAAATTGAAACATACATGTACAGAATGCATCCATAATTTGCCAATCGCCAAAGTTAATGTCGTTTTGATGCAAATTAATCAGACTTAGGGCCTTTGTGATTAATTTCTATTCATCAAAACTCAAAAATCGATGTTAAATAGCCAATAAACACCGCCGAAGCCGATATCATTTCTCAAATATTTTAATATTTATACACAGCTACGGTCAATATATGAAGAAATCTCAAGTGTTGCTCTCTAAGAAGGAATTTTGCTGAATTATAAATTCTTTATTATTCTTTCTGACAGGTAATATGACCAAATATAAACGGTTACATAGCGGCCCGGGTTATATTTTCCAACAACAGTTTAAATAAGGTCATATAACATGTCAAAAAATCTTATTAACAAAGGAAACTGACCTCTTCGGTAGTTATTTTCCCACTTTCGTTAAAATGCACAGAATAGGTGCCAAAATTCTCGTTTGTATTAATAATGAGTCTGCCAACTGTTGTTTTGTCATCAAATGTAATAGATATTACAACATAATCTGCATCTCCCATTGAAAATTTCTCAGAAGAACTTGTTCTAAAAGGAAAAAAGATCTTTTATTTATACAGATAAACAACCCTTAAAATCATCCAGTTCTTTATAATAGTTATACTAACTGTTATTATAGTTAGAAGAACTGTTATTACACAAAATTGAAATATCTAAAATAATTAAAGTGTAAATTAAGCTAAAGATATAATATACTGTTATTACTTTATTATTGTTTTATTACTACTTTAGTAAATCATTGTTTGTGTTAAATACTAGAGACCTTCAAAGTCTTACACCGCATTTGAGAATCGACTAAGATATTGAAAGCATTATTTATTTACGCTTATAATTTTATAAATAATTTCATAAGATAAAGCTTTTTACGTATATATCCTTTAAAACAGCCGGTGATATTACAAGTATTATCATTATTATTTTTCTATCAAAATATGTTACAAATAAAGGATATTGAATAAGTGCAAGTTCAAATACTGAACGCTTGCAGAAATCAAGACCACAAAATAGATAAATATCGGTGTTTTTGTTGTTGTTGTTTGTGTGTGTGTTTTTGTTGTTGTTGTTGTTTTTTCCGCCGATTCTTACATTTTTCATTCATTTTCGTATATAAATCTTAGTGTAGAGATGAATGAGACGTTTAAATGTTCATTCCGTTGGGTGAAAAGGCGAGATTTTAGCGTTTGATCATACAAGCGCCCTGTCCCGTATATACCTGAATATTAAGTTTCACTCTTTTTTATTGTCGCGCTAACATTTAGCGCGTCTTTACGGTATGTCTGTATAACGTACACAACAGCGCAATACCGTTCATATACGGAGTGGCAAAACGGCACCGTATGTGATAGATAAAGTGTGTTCATATGGCTCTGAAAAAAGTATCTAATTAGGATGACATTAAAAAGAAATATGTAATCGCCAGGCTTAAATTAGTCCTGACATATCAGACTTGCTTTAATTCTTACCTTAGGGAGTTCTTCATTTTATTTAATTCTGTTTCATTTGCGGTTGACAGTTTGTCAGAAAGCGAGCTATTGGCAGGATATGCTTTTATTGTAATGGCTGAAGGAGCGATAATGTATTCATCAGCCATGCCGTTGGTTTCTAGACAAGGAGGTGGTGACGTAGTTGGTGACGTTGTTGATGACGTAGTTGGTGACGTTGTTGGTGACGTAGTATGTGACGTTGTTGGTGACGAAGTTTGTGACGTTGTTGGTGATGTTGTTGAACCTGAAATATATGAGTGAAACAATGTTAGTACACGTAGATTAATATCAATGTATCTTCTTTACTTATGTAAGCGTCAGCGGGCCTTCAAATGGTAAATTTTTGGATTACGTTGGCATTGCACGGATCGTTTACATTAAGCTGTGTGCACATGATAATTGCTTGGTAGGTTTTTACAAAACCTAAATCCAACGAGTATTGTGGCTTTCAAAACAGCTAATGTAACATAAATTTCTTGACCGGACTTTGTAATGCTAGATGGCCCGAAGTAATGTGTAACATAATATAATCTTTAAAAGATTTCTGGTCTGCATTACGTGTTCAGTTTATAACAAGAATTATGTCGTCTGCATTAGCGTGACGTCTGCATGAAGCAAAATCTAAATAAATAATATCACGAACATGAAGGATATTACATAGAAGATGTACAAGATTTTTCAATAACCTTTTATAGGGTTTTGTTTTTGAAATCGCGTGGTGAGGAAATAAATACTGGAAACAAGTGTCTGTAACAATATTATGCCTGCAAGAGGTTGGCATGCTATTATTCTATTAAACTTGTTCAATAAATTAAGTATTGAATCTATTCTTTATCCTCCATATTATATGTAAATTAAAATTATATTTACTAGTTGATGTCGAAGTTGTCGAGCTGGTTGTTGATGTTGTTGAAGGGGACGTTGTAGACGTTGATGACGTTGTGGAAGGCGTTGTAGACGTTGGAGATGTGGTGGGGGAAGTAGTAGACGATGACGATGTTGTGGGGGACGTTGGCGTTGTAATTGAAGTTGAATAAGTCGTTGATGGCGTTGTTGAAGTCGTTGATGACGTTGTTGAAGTCGTTGGACTTGTTGGTGGTGACGTTAATGAAGTCGTTGATGACGTTGTTGACGTCGTTGGTGACGTTGTTGACGTAGTTGCTGACGTTGTAGAGGTCGTTGGTGACGTTGTTGACGTCGTTGGTGATGTTGTTGACGTCGTTGGTGATGTTGTTGACGTCGTTGGTGATGTTGTTGACGTCGTTGGTGACGTTGTTGTCGTCGTTGGTGACGTAGTCGATATTGTTGTGGTCGAAGTGGAAGTTGTTTCTATGATAAGAAAAAATAATCATTTAGTAACAAGACTATATATGAAATAAATATATGTCATTTTACGGCCAACAAATATTGTTCAAAACAGACGGACCCTTACATCATGAATTGAATAGTCATGCAGCTGACGGATAGGATGACAGTATCATCATTTCTGGAGAACTGTAAATCATGTACATGTATAAACAATGCGCACCAAAAACGATGCTCAAATATAAAACTATTGTTGACCTGTTACTCACTGATTATTGTAGTTCACTAATTAATTAAACAAAACTGGGCTACAGATACGTTTTCTTTTCTTAAATAAGTGAGAACTGCAAGACCGCGACATCAATAATTGTATGCGGATCATGATTTTCAAACATAGTCTCACCTTCCGGCTTCTGACAAGCGTCTACGATCACGTGACCTATAGAGAACACATCAACAAATGCCTCAAAGTATACTCTGATTTCTGATACAGGTACACCCTGTGGGGATAGGATCTCCACAGTTACACCGGTAGTTACAGTTAAAGTCTGGGTTTCCTGTAATAAAAAACAACAATAATGAGCTGTTTTGTTATCTAAAAGTATTCTGTCAACCTCTCTGTATCCAAATAATGCTCTGTTTTACTAACGTTTGGTTATATGATATTAGAATTAACATTTAGTAACTAATAAAAATGAAACAAATATATTGCCAACACGTACTTTTCATAAAGATTCCGTTAATTCGCGTGACATTGTTGCAAATTTAATGACAGTATATTCTGGATGAACTAAACCATTACTGTTAATGCAAGCGCCCCAATTGCTTAAATATTAAAACTTTTCCAAAATTTATTGTCTAATTCTGTTTACCTAAGTCTATACAGTAACGTTTTCTTTTCTTATATAGTGAGCTGTAATTGGACATCAATAAATTGTATGCGGATATTTTTAAAAAGTACTTCCGTTGACGTCTACGATTCTATAGAGACATCAACAAATGCTAAAGTATATCTGCTGTTTCTACAGATACACTGTGCCATAGGTTTCCAGTTACTACCGGCAGTCGGGTTGTTCTTAATGTCAGTCATATGAGTTGTACTAAATAATTCGGGTATTCCCCTGATTATCCACTTAATTGTTCCTATCTTTTTGATTTGGGAACTAGATTTGTTCAACTTATAAAGAAAAATAATTGAAATCCATTATCACAGACGAGCGTGCGTTATTTACACTAGATGGGTAATTTTCATTAAATTTGCCAATTAATTTTTTCTAGGCCCGTTCTAAAGCCACGCATAAAACATAATCAAAGAACTGCACTTACTACGACAACCAGATGACCGTCTACGATTTTCAAACATTCAACCTTGACTTTGTAGACTTGTTGGGACACATCGAAACTTATTCTGGTAGCTCTTCGTTCCTCTGCCAATAAGATTCGAAGAAATCCGTAGACATTTCTTGAAAAACGTAACCAGCTCAGTGGTTGCGTTGAAAAGTTGTTTCGGATTAAATATGTAATTGTTGCTGGCGCCGACTGCTTCTATCAATAACGGGTCTGTGCTTATCATTTCCTCAAGGCATACTGAAATACAATTTATATATTTATGTCCATATTTTAGCATCATAAGAAACAAATTGCGAATAAATCTCTGAAACTTGACTAAAGGCGGTGCAAGAGCGAACAGACTCGTTTTGAATTTAAGCTAGATCTAGAAATGAGAAAATTTCATGTCATGATTAAATGAGCATATATTCTTGTAACGACATACCGCAAGATTTATTTTTCAGTGGTTTTAATCTATAAGTATAACATGGCCCTACAGGTGTTCCATACTTTTTCTAAATACTTTCAAATAAGTTTATAACCTGCAAACAACATCATCATTGGTCTGTTAATACATGTGAATTTATTGATCTCTGTTGTTCTGAGATTGATTAATCTTCGGAAACTTTATAGTTAGTTTCCATAATTTATTACGATTTACTATTTTTAATTAAATAATATAATATCGCTGGCCTTGAGGTAAGTATGAAAGCATAGCAATTGCAAACTTGCAATGTCGAATCCTCAACAATTTATTTTTTCAGAGTTCTTTGATAATTTTCTAATTATATGCAGCATTAGTGTATTTTTATGATTTCATTTTTTATAGTTTTACAATTTGCATACCCAAAAACTTAGTAGTCAAATTTTGCAAAATAAAATAAAAACAAACATAAAAAGTTGTTTTTTTAAGATTGGAATTTACAACCCTTAATTTCAAACTAAAAGTCTTGGCGCCTAATCACTAATGCTATTTACGCATGAGATGTGTCACTTTTAAGTGGTACTTAAACCATGTATACCGTTTAAGGAATATCACTTAAAGTTTTGCTGTAGTAAATATAGAAACCTTAGAACTAAATATCATTGAAATATACCTTGGCCTAGTAGTAAGAATATACAAACTTGCTAAATAAATATACGTATTCATATACGTAAGAAACAATACCCTGGAAAATATTACTGTTTCTTAAATGTTCGAAATAATAATTATGATATTTTATATCATGTATGTATGTTTTTGTATCATATTATAATAATAATATCATATTATATATGTTTGTCTTTGCCATATATGTTTTTATGAATATGGCCAGACAATAAATTTTTGCATGTCGATAGCAAAATTATTTTGAATCCTTTATGATAAAAAGTAAAAGTGAAAGTCTTAAAAATGATAAGAGTTACCTACCGTAACAGACTTTGACAATGAGGTTAAATACTGCCGGAAGTTCGGAGGTAGAGTCGCGAATTATGACTATTTTAAGAGTCGATACGTCAGAAGTCGTTCTCAGTAAGGCTGTATCATTTCCGGCCACTGTCATCTGATAAAAGAGCGAATTAAAAGACACATAATTATGATTCTTATATTTGTGGGCGTGGTCTAACTAAAGTAACAAAAGGTAGATATCTGAAATAGAATATTGTTATTGTTGTCTTTTTTATTTTATTGTATTTTTGTTGTTGTTTTTGTTGTTGTTGTTTTTTATTGTATTGTTTTTTTTTTTTGATATTATAAACGTGTGTTGTTATTATTATTGTTTCTGGCACTCTAACGTAGTTTAAAAACATAATCATTTTAATACTGCAAATAAAAATGTAATGTTCAAATATATGGTGCTATCAAAATAGATGGGGCAATGATTAAAAGTTAAACAAAAGAGGATATAAAGTTTTGTAATATATGTCTAATTCGGAAAGTACATTAAAAGTTATGGTATTTAGTGAGGGGTAGTTACGGGTGAACCACTTTTAAGTTACCTCTTCAATTTCCGGTTGTTCCGGTGCTGTTACGGTGAATGAGATAACATTTAGTTGGCTGGACAGTTTGACCCTGTCAACCATAACAGGTACTATAAACGTCACCTCAATCACAGTAACTATGTCCGTAGTAACGAACCCGTGCTCGGAGGTTTCTCTGAAATCGATATAAAAATAAAACTTTGTATTTTGAAGTTTAAAACCATTGCATTGATTGAGAGTCAATTTGGTAGGTATAGTTGAACTGTTCTTATATAGAAAATAATCATAGTAAAGTGCATTTACTTGATGGTGACCAAGTTACAAAATATATCTTATATACTACATATTACTATAAATGCCTCCCATATTAGAATTACTAGAAATAAACAGACTAAATTCAAATTTGATTTTGCTTTAATGAATAACGTGTACTAGTGAGAAATGTAATTGCATTGCGATTTGCTGTCATAAGATGTAAATGCATCGTAGTTTTCTTGAAGAGAAGTTATTTTATCATGTCAATAGATTGGGTTCTGCTGATAAAGTGCATGTCTGATAAATTTACCTGTAGCTTTATCAGTCACCCTCAGCTTTATCAGACACCTCATCAAAATATATTAAAATAAAATAAAGAGAAATGGAATATTTTTTACCTTTGACGAGTTTGAAAATATTAAATTGATTAAATCGAATTGACGTTTTCAAATCATTCAAGTCTTTCTTCTAACATTTGACTAAAAACGTTCGGACCTATTATAAATATGACCATTAACATAGGACTGATATGTTACGTGAACTCGGGAGGTTCTTGACAGGTTTTTGTTTCATTTAAAGTTTAAAGAAAGAAACGCATATTAAATTGAAAACATATTCAAAAGAATACTAAACAAGTGCCTGATATTACAAAATTAAGCAGACTCGGCACGAGAAAAAAAGAAGGGCTTGGTCGAGCTTCACTCTTCTTTAAATAAGCCTTGCCTGATCAATTTTGTTAATATCAGACACTAGCAAGGTATTCTCTATATTCAAATTGTATCATAGTTTGGGAACCTTTCTGTTGAAAAAGTGTCAGAGTTAAATCGTTTACATATACATTCACAGTGCGGTAACTGGAGTGCAGGTATCAGTTACCCGCACTCCAGATAATGCCAGTTGATTGGTTCATTTTTGCTGGGGTTTACATATTGTGACGGCAGAGAAAGGGAAAGGGGCAGGAATGTCATATTCAAATGCTCGTTCATTGGTTCATTTTTTCTGGGGTTTCGTATTGTGACAACAGGGAACGTGCTGTCATATTTGACTATGATACAAAAGAGAAAGAACACCAAAACACTTGGCAATCTGATTTATACTCGGGGGCTACGCCCCCTCGTACAAATCAGATAGCCTCGTGTTTCGGTGCTCTTTCTATTACATATCGTTTACAATGTTTTACCTCAGTAGGTCGCTAGTTTCTTCAGTGACAGACTCTTCATTTATACGGATATTTTCCGACGGAATAATGTATTTGTCGGACATTCCATCAAAGCTGTTCGACTCGTCACATGGATAATAGGGTGTTGTCGATGACACACTTGTTGTTGTTGTGGGAAAAGTTGTTGTTGTTGATGATGGTGTTGTTGTTGTCGTTGTGGTGGTAGGTACAACTAAAATAAGATAGCATCGAGTTATAAAACTTCCTTTTTTCCAAATAGTTGTCTTGTCCTGTTTAGACAGAATAAATAGGGCAAGATCCAAACAATACTTAGTAAAGCTGGAGTATAGATACTCACGAAATATATTTTATACATGCTAGCTAATGCAAGTTTTACCCTCGCATTATTATTTTTGACGGGACAAAAAGAAAGTTCCAGATGACCGACACTACGGACTAGTGTTGATTATGTAATTCAAATAAATTTATATGAATTATGGCGACCGTAATATTATTTAATTCAACTCGTTCAATAAATGTAGTATTCAATTTACACTCATTCAATACCCTCTATATCTTACCTGGTGTACAGGCTGAGACTTGGAGATCTTTCATCACGAGAGGAATATTTGTTTCAGGAATAAAGCTTATTGTAATTTTATCAGATAGGATTCCCTCCAGATTCGAGATAGTAACAAGACCGTCTTTTGAAACCACCTCCAAAGTTTCTTTCTGTAAAATACAGACAAAATTAACACTTGACCATTTAAAGTCAGGTTATAACATGAATTATCTAGTGTCACATATATTACTCGCATACAAATATATGATATTTGGGAACGTTTTTTATAAAACTAATGGACTCACTCCACGCAGGTTATTTTGACATGACGGGACTGGACATAACTTTTCGAGATTAATGTTCTATTTTATGCACACATAGACCAATGACTTGTGACTCAAAATTGAAAAGTGAACACACAGCCCAAATCGACTGAACTATCAAAAAAAAGCTTTTCTATTTATTTCTGAGTATATTTCTTTATTATCTTTTGCATATGTTTCTGTTTCCAATACCTTAGCTGATCTATGTAAGAAATTCAAAATTAATGTTTTTAGGATGGAGTTCCTTTAAGTTTGACCATTTTTGGTTTTAAACTATGTATTTTTATACTTTAATTCAAATTTGATTCAAATTTATATTGAGAAGTTTGCAATTACAAATGTATCTGCGGGCTAAAAACTAGACATAGAGTTATAACGACATTAAAATGCAAGAACGAACAATGTCCTTGAAATAAATAGTTTTCATCATAACAGTGTTGTATCTTAAGTGGCAGAACAAAAACGAAAAAAGGAGAATACATTCGTATAAAACAGAATACTTGCCACATCTCTGCCGTTATAATAAAATACAACAAACAGGTTCAGTAGTCCATTCATTGTATTCATATATCCCTCCTCAGTAAGGGTAAACGTTATTGTAGTCGTCCTCTGTGGCTCGGCCAAGTTCATTTCAATATTTCCATCAACGGCTGGGTTGATACTAACGCCTTCTTCGGTGAAAATGCTTTCGCTAAACTCCTGTTGGTTTGTTGTCACAACAACATTTTCTGGTATTGCACTCACCATAGTAGCAGGGCATTCTGAAGAAAACAAAAGTGTTTTCAGTTGGCCGTTTATTCAAAATTTAGTCAAAACTCTATGTTGAACACCTCTAAATAATTGAGGCGAATACCATCAAACATCAACGCATAAATACAAATTGAAGCTGAAACAAGTCGCAAAGAATTTAAATTGAAATTAAAATCCATTGATCTTTTACATTTTTAAGCAATAGCATAGCGTGACAAATTGGTTTTCTCATAATAAGTGAATTGCAATCACTGAATTCATTTCGTGACAATTAAGTTATTTCGTTACACCCGTGATAAATAAATTCATACCGTGACAATTGAGTTCTACTCATGATAAATGAATTCATACCGTGACAATTGAGTTCTACTCATGATAAGTGAATTCATACCGTGACAATTGAGTTCTACTCATGATAAGTGAATTCATACCGTGACAATTGAGTTCTACTCATGATAAATGAATTCATACCGTGACAATTGAGTTCTACTCATGATAAGTGAATTCATACCGTGACAAATAAGTTCTGGTAGTGATAAATGAGTTCTTACCGTGACAATTGAGTTCTACTCATGATTAGTGAATTCATACCGTGACAATTGAGTTCTACTCATGATAAGTGAATTCATACCGTGACAATTGAGTTCTACTCATGATAAATGAATTCATACCGTGACAATTGAGTTCTACTCATGATAAATGAATTCATACCGTGACAATAGAGTTCTACATATGATAAATGAATTCATACCGTGATAATTGAGTTCTACTCATGATTAGTGAATTCATACCTTGACAAATAAGATCAAGTAGTACTCGTGATAAATGAGTTCTTACCGTGACAAATTAGCATTTGTATCTTAAAGGACATGTGGTCAAATGTTGCTGTATCTCTTTTAACCACTATAGTAACATTACTGATATACGTGGCATTTTCGTATTGAATAATGTCATCTCCGTCTCCAGCAACCTGAAAAAAATCCTTCACGTATTAGCCATGAACTGACAAGAGTAACTGCCCCTGTTAACCAATTTAACTGGATACGAGTAAGCCTGGCCGGTCATGCAATATTTCACAGGGGCGAGTAATCTAGGTAGACTTAAGAAAATGTAATATCCTAGTTCTCTCCCCTGATTACTCGAACTAAAAAATTAAATTACAATGTTGGTTCGGTATATTAAAAAAAACACATGTCGTGCAAATTAGCAACCCGAGCCAGAGGCGGACAGTTAGAGGTTTGCATATATGCACTATCGCCATAACAATCATCAGAGACAAATGTTTACAAATTAATGAACATTTAACATTGAAATTCGTTATTTTGAAATACATGTAATTTAAAAACTGTTTTACAATACATAAATTGAAAAAAAATAGATGCCGATTCAAACCTGTTTAGTGGCTGTATCATAATTGTAGTAAACTTCATAGTTATGAACCCCTATCTGGTTGTCTAGATTGACCTGTACTAGCTGCTCTACGACCTCGTAGAACTTAATAACTATTACAGTTTCTATATTGTAGGACAAAAATGAGCCGCCATTTTCTTCCCTGAAAAAAAGAATATAATATCATGTAACCTTCACCCTTCTGGACCTTAAAGTATGTATATCCTTTGTTACCAGTATAGAGTTAACACGTCTGCCTTCATATCGCCTGATTCTATATTGTTAGCCGACTTATTTCAAATGTTCATCTTGGGAATCCCCAAAATTGGTAATGGACTGTTAAAACAATGGAAGCTGGACAAGTCCATTTACAAATTACTTTAGTTTAAGGGTTATTTGAGCCGTGTCACGACAAAAACAACATAATGGGTTTGCGACCAGCATCCGCGCAGTCTGATCAGGATCCATGCTGTTCGCTATCGGTTTCTCTACTTGTTATAGGGTTTGTAAGCGAACAGCATGGATCCTGATCAGACTGTGCGGATGCGCAGGCTGGTCTGGATCCATGCTGGTCGCAAACCCATTATGTTGGTTTTGTCACGGCGTGGCTCATTTGTTGTTATTATAAATCAATATTTTAAATAAGCTTATAAAAAACAACGAATCTACGAATCATTTAAATCACAATCATTTAAATCACGTGACCAAAAACATAAAGACGTTCTCCTGTTTTCAAAAGACTCTTTCAGCGGGCCGGTATAGTAGCAATATACATTGTATATCGTTATGTTTTTTCTAAAGGAAAGCAAAAAACGTTCGTCATGAATAATTTTCATAAAACCCCGAAAACTCCCTAAATTTCTGTATCTATTCTTTTTAGAGACTGTGACATTTATTTCAGATCTTCATAAAAACGTGAAAGTGTGAAATATGATGAAATTTTATCGAAGTGGCTAATGAACGCAAGTGCTTAATCTTTAATATAAAATTTAAAATAGGGCAAAATCATTAAACAAATTTAGCAGATATAGGTTATGGGTTAAGTTTGACAAGTAAGTATTAACAAAGGTTAACTACATAACGACGGTGCAAGATTTAAAGACCTTAATTTATCAGCATCATCTTCTGTTATCGGCACGCCATCAACAATAACGTTTTCACTGGGAGTTATACCACGATTTTTCATCGCATCAAAAGTGGCACAAGGAGCTACAGTCGTTGTTGGGCTGGTTGTTGGGCTGGTTGTTGAGCTGGTTGTTGTAGAGCTTGTTGTTGGACTTGTGGTGGTACTGGTAGTGGTAGCGCTTGTTGTTGACGACGTGCTTGTGGTAGAGGTTGTTGTGACCGTCACTACAACAACAAAACCTTACGTTTATCAACACATATACTTTTGCATTTCATGCAATAAAAATAGAAAAACTATACTTAACTATTGCTCAAATGATAATATATAATATCATTAAATTCTATGTAGAATATACTCGAACTCTCCCCATCGTCATCAACACATGACTGAGATGGTTACAGCAATGTAATATCTCTTATAATTGAATTTGATTTAAGGCAAGGGGAATATTAACCGCATCCTTTATCCACATATTTTGATATCAATCCATTCCACGCTAAATCGTATTCTATCAAATGTCGTCTGTCGACGTAATATCGTGCTGATCAATAAATATGTTGATATCAAAACGACAATTATAAAAATCCCTCAGTAGAAAGTAGATTTTTAGGAATAGACCGAACTTGGTATACGGACGGACAGAAGGACAGACAGACGACGGAGAGGCATTCCCAATAATTATGTTACTGCTACTCTGTATCAGGCGACGCAAAAATATTAACCTGTACTTCGACATATTTGAAATCAAACAAACGTCATGCATTTGAAAACCAATCGCAACTTTCCGGTCCTTTCCATCAGTCTTCGGATAAGGTTATTATGAATAATAGCCGAGGACGTTCCGATTGCTGTTAAACAAAACTATAAGTACTAAAGATCTCTTACCATTGCAAATTTTGACATCTAAGCTGAATGACGCTGGTTCGCTAAAGACGTTTGTAAAAATCGTTATCGTTATCACGGTGACGTCAGTGGCGTCAATAAATTTCGCTGTCGTGGACACATCATTTACGGTCTAAATTGAAATAAAAAAACCAACAACGTTTATTACTTGTCATTTATGACAGCATAATGATATGTTCTTTTGTTGCTGTTGCTTCTTTTGTTGTTTGAGTTGTTGACCTAGTTTTTGTTTGTTTGTTTATTTGTTTGTTTGTAAATAAATGGTTGTTCCTTTTACAGACTACCAAAAGTTCTATCATACTATCAAATAAACTATATTTGTGTAATTACCGTGCGTTACTTACTCATTTTAACTTATAAGCCTGTTTATTAATTATACTCACTTTCACCATTGGAATTCCTGATGCGATGAGGAATACCATATACGAGTTCACGTTAACTGGGTTAAAGAGACCAACTTCTCCGACCACAACCGGTTCTATGAACGATAGTGTTATTTTTACTTGACTTGACAGAGTCTCGTACTGCGATCCTTCACTTGGTCTGTATGTAAAAGTTGTTGTTCACAATTATGTAAGGTTTTATTGAGTGTTGTTATTGTTGTTTAACAGTATAAAAGGGAAATACGGAAACAAAATGTATAATTTTAAGGGAAATTCATAATTTCTGCATGTACAACAATTATAATAAAATAATGTATAATAATGTAAAAATAATCAAGCATTTTTGTTCTTAAGAACATCTAATTTTGAATAATATTATACATTGTAACTGTAAGAAGCAAAAACATCTTATTGCTTATTTTGTCCCTTAATTCAAACATTTAAAGCAATAGCTCCTTTTATAAATGAATTGCATTCTTAGGATGACGTCATTTTCCGTTATGAATTTAGTTGTAAATTCATACGCTTTTATAAGAAAAAGGTGCTACATAAACATATTAGTTAACGTATTTTTTTTCCAAAACATGATTAATATTTAATCTGCATATAGAAATAATCAGACACCGGTTTTCATCACAGACATATCTAACTCTCGGGTAAATGTTTAGCGGAAACTTGGCAGAGCATCGTTACCGCCGTAAACAGTTACCGTCAAGCTAGATATTCCGGTCTGTATCGGTAGCCGGTGTCAGATCCCTGTATCATTCTGTTACCTTAGATTGTTCACGTCGTATGTTACAGGAGAACTGTCTTCTATATAGAGGTTGTCTGTAGGTAATAACACTGAATTCTTCATCCCATCTATTAATGTACATGGTGGTGGTGTTGTACTTGATGTACTCGTTGTCGAACTTGATGTTGTACTTGAGGTACTTGTTGTCGAACTCGGTGTGGTACTCGATGTACTCGTTGTTGAACTCGGTGTTGTACTTGAGGTACTAGTTGTCGAACTTGGTGTTGAACTTGAAGTGCTAGTTGTTGAACTTGGTGTTGTACTTGAGGTGCTAGTTGTCGAACTTGGTGTGGTACTCGAGGTGCTACTTGTTGTCGAACTTGGTGTTGTACTTGAGGTACTAGTTGTCGAACTTGGTGTGGTACTTGAGGTACTTGTTGTCGAACTTGGTGTTGTACTCGGTGTACTCGTTGTTGAACTCGGTGTTGTACTTAAGGTACTAGTTGTAGAACTTGGTGTTGAACTTGAAGTGCTAGTTGTTGAACTTGGTGTTGTACTTGAGGTGCTAGTTGTCGAACTTGGTGTGGTACTCGAGGTGCTACTTGTTGTCGAACTTGGTGTTGTACTTGAGGTACTAGTTGTCGAACTTGGTGTGGTACTTGAGGTACTTGTTGTCGAACTTGGTGTTGTACTTGAGGTACTAGTTGTCGAACTTGGTGTGGTACTTGAGGTACTTGTTGTCGAACTTGGTGTTGTACTCGGTGTACTAGTTGTCGATGTACTTGTTATTTCTGAAAGGGAAACATCAAGCAAATGTATTTAATAAACCAAATTAGTAGTCCACAATTGAGTGTCATATAACATATACTTTCATTTTCCTCTGTAAATTGTACTTACGCGGTAACATGTGACTATATCTTAAGATATCATTACTGTAATAGGCTGCGTTATTCGGCGAGACTTTCCTAAACATACGTATACGTTTAACAATGAAAACAAATGCCAATCCATTGCTATATTTAAAAGTTAAGTATATAGATTCTATATGTAAATCACTCTTACCATAACAGACAGTTATGTCTAGTTGTAACTTTGTTGGAACATAACTTGCGCTACTTGTTACTACTATAGTAACGGAAATGACGTCATTAGCGTTCTTATACATCGCCGGTGAGCTGATGTCAGTAATTGTCTGGAAAAAATATACATTAAATCTAATTATTTGTTACAGACATGGAGATGTCAACTTTCAAAGCAAATGCTCATGGTAAAATTGGAGCAAACATATAATAATGTTTTAATAATTGATTTAAAGTATATTAGATGATTATCACCAAGGATAAGTACAGCTGAATATGAAATTACTTGTTAAAAAGTAAACAAAACGTAATCAAATAGATGCATTGTTTGCGGTCCTAATGTACCTGTGCTTCTACAATGAAGATTTTATTTATCACTTGGCGTTCTTGCTTCACGTGCAGCGCATGCGTCATACAAGCATTACGCATGTTACTATAATTATATAGACTATTTGACTACGATTTTATATCTTGACCCTTTTTCATGTTATTTATTAAAACCTACACATTACTAGAATCTACTGACTATGCTATCAATGTCGATCAAGACCAGCTTTCCAATCCACGTGTCTGTAAGGTGTTACTTCAACTAATGTACCGATCTGATTTCTTAAGCCAAGTAAAAATGTTAAACAATAAACAAGTCTTGTAAGGTGTTAGTTACCTTCAACGGTGATTGCACATTAGACACAGTTTGATAATATGTGCTGAACTTCTCAACGTTCTCAGCATTTTTTAAACCTACTCTACCGAGCTGAACTTTGTCCGTGAACGTCATTTGAATGATAAAGGTACCGGCGGTGATAGTGAACGGTTCACTTGACGGTGCACTCGGGTCATATCTGAAGGCAATAAATATATCAAACTAATCATCAAATAAAAAAAATATCAAAGATATAATTTAATTCGTATTTGTCTTGTTAATACCTAAACAACAGTTTATTCGTACTGCCATTAAAACACCTGTAAATCCAGTGTCGTCTGCAAATACATAGAGGTTATTTGTTTGTTTTGCATGTAAGATTGAAATATATTTCACTGAGTGAACACCAGGTGTAATATTTTATCTGGTGTTCACGAATTCAATCTTATATGTAAGACAAATAAATTTTCTTTTTATTTCATGCTTTTTAAGTGATTTTAAGTATTTTTGACTGATTTTGCCGCGTAACGTCGCGCCTTCTCCTTTATGACGTCATCACATCATGACGTCACATCATGAATTTTGAAATATAGATCTAGTTCTGTTAAATTTCACTAATTTTGTTACTTTTTTAACGTGATATATGATAACATCAACTTTTTTTTCATACAGAAGCAAAATTTAGTATGATGGAATTTATTTTTGCCAGTTATTCCATTTAGTTATGATATTCTTTTCATCCGCATTCAGATATAGTCCGGCTACAGTGAAAATTATATTTTATAAATTTCACTAGTGGTTTATCAGAATTTATCACATAAACCGCGGCGCAGGAGTGTAATAAAGCCATTTAATAAAAACGATATTACACTAGACAGTATTACACTAGTGTAATAACACTTTGACGTCACGTCATTTGCACTATAAACATAGCGTTAAAGCGCGCTAATATTAGCGTTGCACTATAGGCTCGTCAAAGAAAAATGACTTTTGTTAAAAGTTTATCGTTCTTATTTGATATATGTGATAAATAGAATATTATATTCGTGTAGATTCAATACTAAATTTATTGAACTCGTTGAATAAAACAATATTATGCTCGCCAGAGGCTCGCATAATATGATTTTATACAACTCGTTCAATAAATTTAGTATTAAACCTACACTCATTCAATATCCTCTATATGATCATCTGATTTATTACAGTAAAACACCGGAAAGCATGAAATAAAATGTCGTATGCAAACCCAAAGTCACTCTTCATGCTTTTACATCGGTTAAGAAAAAAACAAAAACAAAACAAAACCAAAAAGCATGATACTATTTAGTATCATGCTTTAAAGAGAAAGAAATATTCATATTCAGGAATGTTTAGACCAATTCTTAGATGATACGTCCACATAAGTGAGCTGTTTTGTAAACTCTCCCATATTACAATGCAGTTTCTTATTTTAAATTCAAAGAACTGTCAATCATTTTAGCGAAATTATAAAATAAAGTCAGGAAATATATAGTTCATTTAAGGTTGGTTTAGCAATTTTAACATACCATTTAACTTCAGGAAAACTTCGTTTAAAAACTTTCCGTATAATTTTCTAAAAGCAGATCTGACGGTGGAGATTTTTTGTCAAATTCATACAGACGCTCCTCTGATTATTGTAAAGCATTAAAGTACGAAGATGTTATCAATGTTCACAAAAGTCTTATGTATATACATTCGGCAAATGCTCTGTAATCGGGCTTAAAAGGTCTTATTCAAGAGCAAGGAATCAAAAATAGATGATTCTTACCTCAGCTTATCCTTTTCCGCACTTGTAACGACAGCACCCAAAATATTTATATATTTTGTGGGACTTAGAGCAGGATAATTCAAAACCTCTTTTTCTTGACAAGGATAAGGAGTTGTCCCTGACGTTGTTGGTGTCGTCACAGATGTCGTTGTTGACGTCACTGATGTCGTTGGTGACGTCACTGATGTTGTTGGTGACGTCACTGATGTCGTATGGCTTGTGGTTGAAGATGGTGTTGTTACTGATATAAAACAATAGGATAGCATTTTAATTTATTTATAAGATATATAATGTATTTCTAGTTAAATATTTGATAACAGTACATCTGACAGAACTGTGTTACGCTTACAAATAATTGTCACTACAGTAGAGTATGACGTAATATTTATCATATCATAATAAGAAACTGGTGCAATACTATCTTATTTTGCCTGCCAGCATAGCTTTTGTAAAACAACAGAATGTGCATTACCTGTAGTAAAATACGTAGATGACGGCGTTGTTGACGTTGACGTTGATGTAGACGGAGTCGTTGACGTCGTCGTAGTAGACGTTGTAACTGGCGTTGTACTTGACGTTGTTGTGAACGTTGTTGTTGGTGTAGATGTTGGTGTTGTTGTTGTTGACGTTGATGTTGTACATTGTAATTCGTCCTCACATGTGGTGTCATCACAGTCACAAATACCGTCACATACGTCTTCAGGTTTCAAGCAATCTCCATCATAACATCTGAATTCTTCTTCCTTACAGTACTCTGCAAATACAGGTTAGAGGTCATTAAAAATCAGAAAATATATAAATTTTGTTTGATTGCAGTGAACATCGTTTTTATTCTTCAATATTTCTAAAGGCGCACGCCGCTATTGAAGATACAATTATGAAATTTAGTTGATATTTTCTGAAAGGCGAAATCACAAATGTAAATTTTAAACCCTTATAAATAATGACAAAATTATAAACTAGTGTGTTTAAGTATTTTAATTTAACCCACCCCCAAGACGTTACTAAAATAAATATTAATTTTTTCATATGACCGATTTTTTTCCCAAAATTGCAACGTTTTCATGAAACCCTTTTAAAAACCTAATAAATTATGCATATGCGAAAAAACTTCTAGAGCAAAAATAAAATTAAATTGAATTATATCTCACGGAAACCAAAAATTCTAATGATCTCAATTCTGCTCTCTAAAGCAGTGTACATTATGACTCATATCTCACTGATAGTTTTAGATATCTTACACTTTTAATGAACATTTGTCCCCAATCTAAAGATTATCATGCCATGTATTTCAGTAACATTGTTTCTTGTTCGAAAGAATATCTACTTTAAACAATAAGATTATTTGCTTCTTACGGCAATCATCTTCGTCGCTGTCGTCGGAACATTCGGGATATCCATCACAGCGTGTTGCGCACGTGATTCCATCTGGACATAAATATTTCTCCTGACAAGCTGAAATAAAAAAAGAAGTTTGTTTGGTTGTGTTGTTAGGTTTAAGTCAAGCCCACACCATAAAGAACATGTGGCGACTTTCCAGCTTTACTAGAGGAGGAAGACCTCGGGCACCCTTTCGTGCAATTTTTCAGGAACGAGCAGCTTCCCAAGTAGAACCATCGACTTTTTCTAGGCTAGCTGGATAGCGTTCTCAAATAAAAGAACATTAACTTTCAGGCGGAATTCAAAGCTAGAGCGGTGAGAGGCAAGTGATTTGAAGTATGAATATCAAATTACATTTTTTTTTCATTGCATCGAATGTGTCAGGTAGGAAATAAACGAACTACTTCCAGTTCATAATGTGTAAAACTAGATATATTTCATTGATTAACATCCAGGATTATCAAAAAGGATATGAACTCTGGCTGTGACAAAAAAAAAATGATTCTTCCGCCGAAACAAATTATTTCCCATTGTTAAAAATTGATCTAAAACATATTCTTGTAGGGACTACAAAGCAAAATTGAAGACAGAACCTTTACTCCTCCAATAAAATTTAATGTATTTTTCATAAATCACCATAGTAAGTGTATATCGAACAGAAATCTAAGTAACTTCGTATGATCTTCAATAGTTGAGAGTAAGGCAATAAAGTCACGTGATATAGACACATTTATCATATCATTACATGGCTTATTGTTGCTGATAATTTAGCTTTATCAGTCACTCTCAGCTTTATCAGACACCTCATAAAACATAGAAACAAATGAAGAGAATGGAATTGTTTAACCTCTCACTTCTCGCACTAGTTTGAAAGTATTTAAACTGGTAAACTTTTAATCGAATAATTCTTTTAAATATTAAAGTCTCTCTTATATTTGACTAAAAACAGTCGGGGCTAGTTTTTATTGATATGACCTTGACATATTACTGCGCGCGGCAGGTGTTTGTTTCATGTGAAATTTAAAGAAAGAAACGCATATTAAAATTGAAATATGATAAAATAGAATACTAAACAAGTGTCTGATATCATATTTATCAGCCTCGACACGAAAAAAAATGAAGGGCTCGGCTATTTTTTCTTCTAAGCCTTGATAAATTTGGTGATATCAGGCACTAGCATGATACTCTCTATTTATCTAGCAAGGTCGATCAACAGTTGACTACATACTACAATTTTGATAGGGATATTCGTCCGTGCCGTCGTCACAGTCCGGAATGCCGTCACACACACCAGTACCGGGAATACATACACCTGTCTGGCATTTATACTCTCCCTTTTCGCACGGCTTACACTCGTCTCCTTCACAGTCGAATAAACCGTCTTTGCACGTGCTATATGTGATATATATAAAATATGTGATATCCCGCTTACATATACGTCTCATGGTGTGAAAAATTAGGACTGCGAAATTGTGTCTATAGATATACATGTATAGTAAAAGACCAGTATTAAATAATGAGAAAATTTGTAATAAAAGTATCATATTTTCCGTTTAAACAGTGTAAAATTAAATCTAACTGATCGTTTACAATCTAAAAAATCATATTCAATTTAAATTCACGTTTAAGATTATCTTAAAAGAGTTTGACTGTATAATGATGAAGTACTTACCAATTCTTGCAGTTTTCAATTTTACTGTATCCGGGAGGATAACTCGTGCCGTTCACGTAACATTCACATTCCGAAATTGGTTTACAGCCGTCCCCTAAAATATAATACAATCATTGTTAACACTTTAATCATCCTCAATATAGTACATATTGGTTTAAACATATTTATTCAAAACAAAACATTTAACAAGTGAACATATTTACAAAGTACATTTTGGGATTGGGCAGAAAGCTATAAAGCTTATGAGGGTTCTCTCCCAGTTATAATAATTTACATTAACACAGTTCATGGCATAATATAGAACATATTAACATTGTAGTTGCCGCTGTTGTTGTTATTTTTCTTGTTAAAGAAAAATGACTATCATAGCTTTGAAAACACAAAATTCAATTATACCGTTCTTGATATATAAGGATTTAAAAGATTTGAGCCGTGTCATGACAAAACCAACATAGTGCGTTTGCGACCGGCATGGATCCAGACCAGCCTGCGCATCCGCGCAGACTGATCAGGATCCATGCTGTTCGCTATCTCTTTCTCTACTTGTTATAGGGTTTGTAAGCGAAAAGCATGGATCTTGATCAGACTGCGCGGATGCGCAGGCTGGTCTGGATCCATGCTGGTCGCAAACGCACTATGTTGGTTTTGTCGTGACACGGCTCATTTATTTATTGTAGCTTCTAGCCTTTACTCCTACTTCGTTGCATTTCTTGAAATTTTTATTTCGAACATTTCAATTTAACTTCAAGGAATCCTCTTTGTGCTTTGTACAGATGAAGTTAACATGGCACAAATACCGTATGTGTCCACAATTTATGGTTGATCTAATCGAACATTTTTTCCATTATTAAAAATAAATATTTCAAACTGACCGTCACTTATTTGACCATCCGGACAGAAGCAACCCTCGTTTGTCTGTACGTTATTCCAAAATGTTGGACGACCAGGGCCGATATTTTCACAAGTCTGAGGGGCCGGGCCTCCGCATCCTTGGTAGACTTTTCCGTTTTCACACTGCATGCCTATAAAATATAAACATATAGTTACATGATAACTTTTTGACTGTCTGAAAATTACTGATAAACTTTTATTTATATGATCAGAAACAAAACAAAACAAGATACCAACACGAAAATGTAGTAATTAGGTAATGTTAACTGCTACATCAGTACATTATATAAATATGATATCAATAAACAACTTTCTTATTTATTTATTTTTGATTCTACAAATGTATTAATATAACACGTAGTTTTATACATAGAAACACTTGTTATCGTATTTCTAGGTGATAAAGAAACACACAGGGTGCATATTCTACAGTATACAATAAACAATCGGGCAGATATTTGACACACTGATTTCTACTCACAATACCGTCAAGATTTTTAATCTAATTTCACGATTATCTTTGGTGTACAAATGTAAACCTCAAATGACAGAATATTTACTTTTAACGTATGAAAATACAAGTCTTGTTTTTGATATGGAACTCTTCATGAAAATCGACGACACTTTTTAAAAAAAAATTGCTCAATTTGCCACGGGAACTCTATAGGAATAAGGTAAAAAATACTTACCACAGAAGTTATTCGACCTCCACCTTATACATAATCCCAGACTATTACAGTGCTCGGCAAAATTAGCCACGGCTGAACACAGACACTCACAATCACCTCCGGTGTCACACCTAGGATAACAAATAATAACAATTTGTTAGCATGTCATTTGTCATTTATGAAAAAAAAGTTCAAGGACTATTTTTAAGACACGTGCCTGATCGTTCACACGTATATTATTTACTGCAAATAATTTATTCTCTATAGGCAAATTTACTTACGCGCATCCATCAAACACGCAGTCTTCATAAAACTGTTTCATCTTTTCTTGAGAAGTTGCTTCTATGCACTTTTTGAATATCCCGTCCTTATTCTGAATTATTCCACATTGCTCTTCCGACCAGTGTCTTCTTTTCTCCAGTGGCCCCTAAAATGAATTAAGAATACCCATTCACCGTGAATTTTGAAAACAAACCCACTGTTTTCAATCTAATAAAGAGCAAAAATTTATATTGAAATTCAAATTTTGAAATTTTGTGAATATAAAAAAGGACTCTAATGAGTTTGTTGTAACAAAATGGGACTGGAAATATTTTTTTAAATGTTCTATTTAATACAGGATTGAGAAATAAAATCAGCAAAAACTCGCAAAAATCATTCGCTAACTCAGTTCTTTTTTCTTTAGAGTAATTAATCTAATTGTGAAAAAAGACCAAAAATAAAAATAAAAAACTCAAACCAGGCTAAGGTTAGCACAAAAATACGATTTTGAATTCATTTCTGAGTATATTCCTTCATTATCATTTGCATATCTTTATGTTTTAGTGTCCCAATTAATCTATGTAAAAATACAAATGATATGTTTTAAGGCTTTTTGACTTCAATATAAAAACGGTTAAGGTGGCCTGCCACTCACCGCTGTTGCTTCCATCCCCACAAATCACTTTGTACTATTTCCTGTGCTGAGGGTCAACGATTTGCCACTATTCAGAAATACGAAAGTAGTGCCATAACAATTAATACGAGCTAGCGAATGTTGTTATAGCTCATTTAAATATTGTAAGCATACATGTATACACCTTTTGATACCTGAAATACCGTAAACTATGTCTGTGTTTAAATCATACATCTTTACAGTACACAGTACACAACTTTTACAAATAAAAAATTATCAGTCAGATTGCCGTTCATGTGAAAATCGTGCCTCTATTATGTCATGTTCCTTTCTTTTCTTTTTTTTGTTTTTGTAAGCGGGAGGGGTGTTTCTTACCTTGCATGGTTCGGGTGAGACATCCTCTGCTTCTAAATCCGGACAAGATGAAGATTTCTTCATACTGTTCAAATATTCAAATAATGCTGTAGCTCCAGTTCCTCCAAACTCGTTCTTGACGATACCATCATAGTTCCCACACAGACCTTGAACTTTTCCCTTCCATCTTGGCCCCAAATACAGATACACTCGAGTTCCTTAAATGTTTAGGAAGAAAAACAGTATAGATTTAATTTGGAAACATGATTCAAAAATTTTTATTGTTTTCTAATATTTAGTTTGTTATTTTGTTGCTGTTGTTGTTGTATTTTTTTTCTCTACTTTTTTACAAATAAAATAAATCTTAGGACAACAATATAATGTACTCTGAAATCATAATAATACATGTATGACAACTGTGAGAAAAGAAATTTACATTAACTATTCTTATATACATTGTGTATGTGACCTTTGGTCAACTCTGATCAACCAGTTATACATTTATACATGTACACTTTATACAACACAATGGATTAGGCTATGTCCACACCAGTAAAAAGGACTTTTTTCTTGTAAAGAATCTGAATCTTCGCTATTTGAATTTGTGCATTAAGGACAAAAAACTGTGAGTATTAAGTGTTAGAATAACCTATGTATATAAACTTCGACTGATAATGAAATAGCACATGATATAAATCAAAGTATTTCACTATTCATGTCAGTTATTATAAAAGCTTAACATTTCTGTACATTCTTACCTGCATCAAACTTCAAAATCAAGCCCATTCCTTTCCATATAACGGTCATGAATTCGCCCCCGATATTGTCGACCACAACTCCATTTGATTCGTACTCTAGTGCATTCACACGCCTTATACTCTCCCCTCTAACATATTTCATCGTCATGCCATTAATGGTTATTGAAATAGACTTCGTACATGTCACACCGCTACTTCCACAAGGCATGTTCTCAACTGCAGAAGATAAAAGTGGAAGTATAGAAAATAAATTCCTTCTTTTTTTAATTAGATGAATTTTGGTGTCAGGCCTCGCAATGGGTATATCCTTAAGTATTTTCTGATATTCGAAGGTACCTCCTTTCCGTCTTGATATTATATATATGATAGCAATAGGTACCATCTTTTTATAGATTTTAGCAACGTACATGATATAGAATATATCGTTTTATAAATATTAAAAGCTGCATGCTCTCTCTTTTTATAATTTATCTATTTATAGCAATGGGAATCTTCTTTCATTTACGTATCTGAGTAAATGACAGAGATAGCTATTTAGTGAAAATATTTCATTGATTTCTTACCTGTGACCTCGAAACTGTTATCACCATCAATAGCTTTAGCCATGGTGTAACTGCAACTTCCTTGGAACGAGTATCGACGGTTGTCGAATGTTTGGTAGTGGGGGTCACCTGCTGCATAACACATTGCTGCAACATAGATAAAATTGGTATGTTATTAGGCATATGAGTTGGCTTCAAACACAGACACCCGAGGGTAAGTCCGTGACCCCGCCTTGTTCAGCCTGTATTAATTCTCAGTACCTTTTAACATTTCAACACGAGTGGCTTATAAACTTGATTTGAATCCATTAACATGTGAATTTTTAAAAAATCATTTACCATCAAGTTTTGATTAAAATGAATGTCTCATTTTTTGATGAAATGTTAAAAAATACAATGAAAGTTGACAGGGATGGGGGGGGTCTGACCACAGAAAGGAGAGACTGCGCATGTCCCTTCGTGTATTCTCCTGGGTATGAGCAGTGAAACAGTCAAAAGAACATACATTACTTATAATAAAAAGCTTCATATTTTTTCAGAAAAAAATAGGAATAGAAATCGAGACAGCCAGTGGCATGAAATTAAGTTCAGGGACTACCACATGGTCATAATGGCCACGCCCACACCAAAATTTACATTTCTAACAAAGCTTTATATAGACTTACCCATGCATTCGTTCTCCTCTACTACTGTCCATCCTTGATTTTCACAGAGCCTGAAATTTTACAATTTCCATTTTGCATCTCATTAAAAATTTCAGATATTGCCATTTTATTTACTCTTTCAGTTTTAGAAATCGGTATAATTTCACTTAGCATAAATGTGTAGCATAGTCTCAAATGTTTAACGTTTGAGAAAATCAATGCATTTCTATCAATAAATGATATAGCATATGGAAAATGCTATGTCACACCTTACCAATTCTGAGCTGGCCTGCCCAGCCCTTCCCAGCGCTAGCATAGATGGCATGGCATAGCGTATATTAGCATATCTAATTTATATACATGAAGAAATTAGATTTACTTGCGGCAGACAAGTTAGTACTTTTACAGAACACACCCTGTTAGTTTAATCATGACAGAACTTTTGTAATACGAACGTTTATCTCAACAGAACCAAAATACTACATGTATTTTATTATGTCTTACTTACATGACTTTGCAGCCGATTATTAATGTTTCACCATTTCCATATACCGAACTTCCATATACACAAGGGCATTTCTCAAACGGTATACATGTTCCCTATAACCATGAAAAGGAAAATAAACTTTTTTTTACGTTTCTTCATCTACATTTTAACGCTTGCATAGTACACAATTTTTAAATTTGAGCATGCGTAGTAAAAAGTAATATTTAAGTTGTATAGATAATGATGATAATGATAATGGTGGTGATGATAATGATAATGTCGATGATGATGATAATGATGATAAGACTGGCGGTTGTAACAATTACAGTAGTGGTGATGATATTTTATATGATAATAAAAGTAATGACGATGTTTTTTGTTGTTGTAGTTCATGCTGATTATGATGATGATATTGAGAATGTTGTTGTTGTTGTTGATGATGATGATGATGATAATGATGATGATGATGATGTGCCAATAACAGTGGTGCTAGTAGTGATGGTATTTCTTTAATGTTAATGGTAATAATGATGACTTTTGTTTTTGAAGTTAATGCTGATTATGCTGCTGCTGCTGCTGATGATGATGATGTTGATGATGATGACTTACATTATGACCTATCACTAAACCATCTTCACAACCGCAGCCGTAATGAGGCAGCTCAACACTGCATGCTGTCGGATTTTCTTTATCGTAGTTTTCACACGTGTAAGGGCAACTGTTCCCCTTCAAAAATATCTGATTGCCCGGGCAGAAATCGTCTTCGTTACATCCCTCTTTCTCTATACAATCCCATGTGCTGTTTATACATGTGCTGTTTCAAAATGAAATAAAGTGTTTTAAAATACAGTACGTATTAAGCTACTAAAGTTACGAAATGTTTATTTGCAGAATATATGTATATGAAGACACATGGCAACATCCAAAATAGAGGGTGTAAACAAAAATGTATGAATAATATAAAAGAAGCAACTTTAAAGGGAGACCACTGAGCATTATTTTTCTTGTCGTGACAGGATTTAAATGATTCTTCGATATCAATTTTCAAGTTTTATGTAAGATCAGACCAATAATTTGATTGCATAATTTCAGATCATTCGCTCACTCCGTATTTCCAGAATAATTATTTCAATTATGATTTTTTTTTTTTAAAAGAAATGTAACGATTTTTACTCAAATCTTTACTCGAATCGGTCTTCCTATGGCATAAACATACAACTTTCAATTAAATTCTGTGTATAATTTTTGATCATCTTTTGCATATATTTCTGTTTTAATGGCTCATTTTTGTAAGAAATTTTATGTTTTAGGCTTTTGGATCTTAGTGGAGTTCCTTAAACCCATCATTGTTTTACAGAAATATTTTTTAGCAAAATGCTTTTACCATACGTCACAATTCCTTTGTACGATGTCATACGGTTTCCGGTACTCCCGGTTGTATTCGTCATAGCACGTGCATTTCTCTTTTGGCACGCACGTGTAGAAAGCGTCAACATATTGATTGGCAGGGCAATGACATCCTTCGATACAATCTGCTTCACAATTGTCGTCGCCGTCCTTTAAAAGATACAAAAAAATTTACAATCAGTAGTCCTCTTAACAAATGAAAGGAATATTCGGATTCAATAGGTTTTATTGTGGTATAGTAAAATCATAATTAGTACGTTATAGTGGTTTCATTTCTGATCACGGCAGTAAGCAACCATTGAATTTACAAGCACACAGTTCAGCCACCGCACTGTCAAACACTTTGCCAGTACTAGATCTAATTGCCTTCATTTCACAAGGAACAGATTATTTTTGTACATGCGATAGCAGAGATTTACAGTGCGAATGACTGTATAGAAAGAATTTCATGATCAATCACGACAAAAGTGGCCTGCATAGTCCACGAATTGAATTCGGATCGCCCGATTCACAGTCCAACGCTCTGCCTATTGGGCGAACCAGACGAAATTCAAAAAGAAAATAGGAAAAGTTTTATAGTTGTATTGTAATATTATAAATAATATGTGTGTTTTATTTTACACATGTAATGCAAACGTAAAATAAAATTTAAAAGGAACATGTATATACCACGCGAGAAATACAAAAACAAATAAAAAAAAGAATTTGAATTTGACATAACTTATGGGTCAATATATCTATACAACTAATAGTTATATTTTTATGAGAATCCTAAAGTAAGACATGTAAGGGCGTGGCTTGAAAGAAACTAATATGTAGGGATCTTGGAGCATGCTCCCCCGAAATGTTTTGAAAATCTACATCTATAATCTACAATTCTGTATTGATATGTTAAGGCATTTTCAAAAGAGAGTACTAGTATATAATTTTGCAGCATTTTGGTACTAACATAAAACATGTACGTTTGATATTGCACAAGTGTGGTTAACGTCAATCATTACGTTTATCTTTATTGGGAACGATTAATACGATATAAATCACTTTTCATTTATCCTCAAATCATACCAATTATGCAGTACAATGTAATTTGAAAAACGATAAAAAAATGACATGCTATATGACCGGTTAACAGTTATCTGCGATATTACCCAATTTGTCGGCAAATAACCTGTTAGAAATCTTTATAACTGACAACGTAAGACCAAAACGTACGTACCTGTAAATCGCGACAAGATGTTTTACACGGAGACACACACCGGCTGTACACTGATCCACGTACTAGATGACAGTTATTTACGTTGTCCTCTACAATCAATTATAAACAATAATATAACAAAACACACGAAACAAATTACAGCAAATTTGGAAACATGGGTTAAGAAGACAAGCCCGACTTGAATTAAGCTGTTGAGGCAGACATTTAGGTAGTATTATTATTCATGTTGTTAACCGTTTTGCAAGTTTATATAATTATATTAGTAGGTTCTAAAAGGTTTGATTGCATGATTTTCTATGTTGCCTTTTATTGCATTTTTGTTTTTGTTGTTGTTGCTGCTGCTGCTATTGTCGTTGCTGTTTTGTTTGTTAATGTATTTTTTTTTTCATAATTCCAGTTTGAAGTTTGTTGGTTTCATGAAAAAATTCGACTTTCTCATATTTAGTATCAACATATAAAAGCATAGGGTTTTTACATTAGTGTATTGTACAAATTATCAAGTTTAAACAAAACCAGAAAAGAAAATAATATAACACAGCAATAAACCTACCGCAATACTTCGTATGCTCATTGAAGTTCCAGTCAAGATGGAGGTTAAAATTTTCTGCTGCCTTTGACAAGGCGCTTGTCCACCAGCACATAACGTCCATATTCTCGTTCCTACACATGTCCTGTCTACAGCGATCATAAAAGTAGTTCACATCTAATATAGCCCCCGCCAAAAATTGTCGGGCTTCTCCGATAAATTCCGAATTTAACAAATGCGCGCAAACTGTCTCAGCATAATCCGCCTGAAAATTTTCAATTTTATGAGTTCAAATAATATACTTTACATGTCTTAATGCCAAATATAAATTTAATTTATTCAAATCATTTAAATCCGTCAAAATTCAAATTCAATTGCATTTGATTATAATAGTTTTACTTAAATATAACTGCAATAAAAAGTTTTTAATTATAAAGTTATTACAAAAATGATACTAAAATATATTCTGTTTACAAATTCAATTTACAGACTTGTGCAACAATCATTTAAGTAAAACATATGACAATAAGTAAGCATTAAAATATTCTTTAGATTTTCAACTTTACAGTAAAAACAAACACAGATTTCCAGCCAAATTGTCATGGACTCATAGTATGTCCATTATACGATTGACGAAGATCATTAAATGACATTTTTTGTGTAATTCCATTAAAAACTATCAACGAGGAGCCATTTAAAAGCCACCCATTTAACAGATGCTTGTCTATTCTAATAAGCATTTCCTTTGGATAAAATGATTATAGACTAAAGCAATAGTTCAGATAAAGGGACAGCAAACAATGGGTCATAAAAAGGGCAAATTTTCTACCATTTGGTACTGGAACATGCATGAATCTATCAGCTCTACAGGTGCATCGCCTCTACACTTAGGTGTTCCATAGCCATAAACAACAAAGTTCGGATTAGGTTGTCCCACGCCCTGCATTTCTAAATCATCGTCGCCCAAAGCATTGAAGTTACCGCACATACCAGTCACCTAAAACAGGGTAGAAACAAGGGGAACGTGTGATATGTGTGTTCTCGTGCAATCTCGGATAAAACGAGAACTTGAAGAATCCTCTGTACGTTCACTAATAATATAATTACATTTGTTACCTTCGTCGGATACCCACGATTGATAAACATGTCACATAACATGCAAATGTTAATGGTTCGGCCGTGGGTATCCGACGATGATTTGTTACAAGACTGCGAATTATATCGATAAAGAGAGGAATAACGAGATTGCCAAGACGGGCAATGCGCAATTTAAACTTAGAGAGAAATAATATGTTCCCCAAAAATATTTTAAAGCTGTAAACTTTGCAACAGTTTATTGTTTTTAGTGGGTTTTTTGTGGCGTTTTACCTTTTATATAGGACAAGTACTTAGAATATCTTTACATGTAAATTTTGACTTTGACCTTTTGGGCCTATGTCGAGCGAGAGTGGTTATACTCGCTCACTCACTTTATTTTGTTGATTTAGTTTCGGAAAGAGTCCCCCACATTTAAATGCGACGAAGCTTTACATCAAGCTAATGTCGTAGTTGCATAGACTAATGCAACAAATGTCATATTTTCTAAACAAGTAACGATGGAAATTCCCAATCTGACCTTTAAAGTGTTGGTACCCACAAAAGATTAAGCTATATATATGCTACCCATTAAATGTATTTAAAATAATCAACTAGTTTTGCATCTATTAAACGTAAATTGTAACAGCCTATCAATTCCTTTTCATTACAGCCAATCAATTCCTTTTCAAAATCACTAATGAAAATGACATTAAAATGATTTGGTATAATACAAACAGATGGTATAAAATCTAACTACCTTTCCTTCATAATAAGGTTGTACGTTTAGGTATATAGTCAGACCATTATCAACCACTAAAGTGAACCCGATTCCTTCAACGTAGATAAACTTTGTAGTGACTTGTTTCACTTTCATTCTTCCAACATAAGGTAACTCCCACAACGATCCGTCAACGTACACCGAGGGATTATTGCCTAGCTCAATCTCTACGGATTCCGTGTCAGATTGTATTTGTATTCCAGAAACACAGCGCGTGTTAGTGACGCCAGTGCATTCCTTCATAGTTAAGGTAATGTCTAATACGTCACCAGTTTCATTTCTCGCTTTGTCCGTAGTCTGAAATGTCAAACATTTAGATAGCATATGAATGGTTTAGTGAGGATAAGCCCATATATCATTTCTTATTGGTTGTGTGTTTACAAAAAGAGTGTATTTATAAGGCCGTCCGGAAATACTCACTTTAAACATTGTGTACTCGCATGATTTGCTTCCAACGTCAAAATCGTACACTTTGCCATCTAATGTAGATATATGATTGTAACCAATCAAAGAGCAGGTGGCAGAACACGTGTTAGATTCGCACACGAATCTCCCCTTTTCGCATGTGCTGTAAAACAATAAGAAGTCTTTGTTATTTTGAAGAAAAGAACATCTTAATTCCGGTAATTAAAATATTGCTCAAAATAATTATCTTTATGATATATCAGATAAACAATTATCTTTAAAATATTAATAATTATCTTTTCAATGTAATAAATTAAAAAGTTTTGTATGCAATATTTTAAGATTTACAGCATGTGTATGCTCTATCTGAGGTGACGACATCCATTTTTCAATGACGACACATTTTTGTGTCTCGTGCGTTAAAATGGGAAAGTTCTGGCGCAAAAGAGAGCCGGGGAATTGTAATGTCAGAGACAAAAACAGACGTGTTACATCCAGTATTTAATAACAAAAGCCTGACTAGTGAAATAATTAAATGATATCAAAACAAGTAATTACAATGTCCTAAAGGTTGTCACGTATCACGTGTTCATCGTATCACGTGAATACACTATTGATCGCGTGACTAAATAACATACCATTTGTTACAATCCATCATGACAGTATCGCCTTTGCTGTAATATTTGCCATAGTGTATACATGGGCAGTCGGCTGCTTCGACACACTCGTTGTTGTTGTTCAGAAACGTATTCCCGACGCATTCACAACCGGATATCGTCTGCTGACATTCATCCTGTGACAGCTCCGCCATGTACAAGTTTTTGCACGTGCGTTTGCACAATGGTTTACCCTGACTGTACGTCATACCTTTTGGACATTCCTTGGCTAAAAGAAGTAATTTATTTAATGATTTTTAAAATATATCAATTCATAAAAATATATTTAAAGAAATGTTTATGTTAATGATACTAAGAATATGTAAAAAGTCCAAGTAATCCTTAGAATGCTGACATTTTAAATGGCATTGAGACGCGTTCATTTCTGAAACATTCCATTGGTAATTGGGGGAAATACAGATAGAAATATAAGTTAGTCATATATAGTCAGCAGACAGTATCGAGCATAGAGCATGGTCAAATGTCAGCCATGCACAGGCTGGTTTGGACACTTGACAAGGGCTAATCACTTTCGATTCTTGTAGATTTAAGGTTAAAAAGATAAGGCAAAAATGTATTGTTTTCGGTTAGGTTGTTTTAATTGAGAGGTCAAAAGGCTTTCTCTCCGCTGAAAGTATAAGACTGATTGTTCTGAAATGATGTTTAATGCTACCACTACATGAATAGGTTAGCGATTGGTGGTTTTCTTATGCAAGAAAGTGTTCATATGCGTCCAGTTGTCAACCTTCAGTAAGCTGGTAGAACTTTTATCATACGTTTGTACAATCATTAACCCACTGGTTGGATCAGGGAAGAGGGAACCAAATCTAGGAACTTTGAATTTAAAAGAGTGTGTTTTGAACACGGTACGTCACGCTTACAATTTGCGGTACCTCGCTCTAATACTTGAAGTCATTTAAATCTCCACTAGTAAATTTCTATAAGCATTTACCTAAACCAACTTTTGAATCTGTTGCTTTTGGACAATTAGTACTACGGTTATAGCGATTTACGATAAAAAAAACTTATGTTTGCCCCTTCTTACGAAGATTTTTTTTATATTTTTCTTTGTCGGGGAATACTGTGCTTTAAATGTTACAATCTTATATATACTTATTACTGCTTTTCCTCGTTAATTTGAGATCATTTTCCCTGTGTAAATCATATTTATACATACGGCACGTGTAAGATGATCTCCACGAGACATCTAGCCCATAAGACGACACTTCATAAACGTAGGCTTCCAAAACAGAACATTTAGCTAACTCTTTCTCTTCTTTGCCATGCCCAGTACAATACATCCGGACACAAATGTCATAATACTCTTTAGGATGCACCTGCAATTAAAGTATATATTGAGCATTGAACGTAAAAGGTTTATGGCACTTCGGTAAATATCGACATTTTCCGTATCGTAAAGATAAATATAAGCGTCGAATCGACAAGGAGCAAAGGAATATCTTGTTCACCGGCTGCTTGATAAATATGAGAAAAAAAACTTACTACGTAGTTTCCGGTGTGGATACTATATATTGTGCTACACGCAACTTCCGCTTCCAGTGAGCTTGCGAGATCTGAGCATTGCTTCTCTACTGGGTATCCGGCAGCAGAACACTAAAATTGCATACAAAATAAGTAATTGTCACATGTAATTAAAATTACGAAGCATATGCTCCAAGTGTAATATATAGTACATTATAGAATTTATCATAAGCAATTGAATAGAAAAAAATATTATGTACAAAGTGTTTTGAAGCTTAGCATGTTATTAAAAGTCCTCTATTTACATACATTTAAAACATCGCACTACCAGTGTTCGATAAATTTGCACTAGCATTTTTTACCATTTATTTAGATATTCTCTTTTTTTCAGGGTCAAATTTTCGTCAAACAAATGAGAACCGTTACCAAGTTTCTTCAAAATATTGACTTTGAAATAAAATTATTGTCCAGCTTAAATGACCTACTGTATTAAATTAAGGAAATAAGTCTCTCTTAATTTAAGTTATATTTATATTGTTTCTATGTAAGCTTGAAAAAAGTCATTTCATACTGGTGGAGAATTCGGTATGTTGATTTTCTGAGCATTTCCAAACTCGAAACCTTCTGAATATGCACCAAAGTCATCTGAAAACGAAACCAGCACAAAATAGAATAATTTCCTGATCTCCGAAAAAGAAAATGTCTTAATATACACATTCAATCTCCATGATAATTTTTATTCTGCTAGGTGTATTTGATTTTTATTATTATAGTTTTTTTTCTGCAATGAAAACCTCAATATTCGGCCAGAACCCTCGGAAATAAGACATCGCGTAATAGCGGTACATATCGGAATGGCTTTTAAACCCACTGTACTATACTGGATAAATGTACGTACAGTACATGAACTGGAAAAATAAGATAAAATTGAACTATGCAGTACGGTCTATAATACAATGTACGATATATCCAATATTTGTCTTTATAATTATTACTTCTTTCTTTTTTATAAATTATGTAACAGATTATGAATATAACAATAATAGAAATTTGTATAATTTACTTTAACCCATACGCGACAACTGATTTAACCATTGCGACCAGTGCAGACTGGACCAGTGCAGACTGAGTCGGCATGTTCTTGTCGAATAGCATCAGTCGGTACATATATCAAAGTATTCACTAACATTTAAAAATGGATATCTCTAAAATGAAAGATGGACAAGTACACATGATAAAGGTTTTATTTTACACAAGTACGCGACGTTATCGAAAGTTTAAAGCTAACGAATTCTTTTTTTTTTTTCAGTTTTCCTACCTCTGACGTCAAAGTTAGCGTTCCCACAAAGCCCAGTAATGGTCCTATTATTGAATCGTTCAATGTGAATATATACGCTGTTAACTTTGTATTTTACGACAACACCTTGGAAGTAAATGAACAAGAATTCGCTCTCTCTGTACAAAGACATGGCTGTAAAAATAATATGATAAAACATGTTAAAGAAATCTTCGGAAACACGTCGGAGATTCGCCTGGTGGCAAGGCTATTAAAGAGTACTAGTATCTCAATTTTCTTTGACTATGTCAAATGTTTTAGATCTGAAAAAAAAAGCTAAAAAAACTGTTTGAAAAAAAAATGATTTACCTTCATAATACATTACCAGGTTATCTTAAACATTCAAGCACCATACGCTGTAACGTATAAAGTTATTTAGAATGAAACAAATTGAATGTTTTACTTACTTTTCTGGCCAACAGACACTGAATCCTGGTCCGGGACATGAATAACTTCACCACTCATTGTGACTGTACCATTGTCGACTTTAATCTGGGTACCAGTTGAAGTAATTACGATTGCCTAGAAAAAAAGGATAATCAAAATTATTATATGGTGTACATGTATATAGTAAATCATTTTACCTGTGCCCTGTACTCTTTTACTTCGAACAGGCAGAACAATTTTCATGTAATTTTACTGATTTAAATGCTTACCAGAGATCACCGTTTTGCAGATATTTAAATATCTAGACTCAACAATTATATCTATTGTCTCTTGCAATCAAAGGTTTGAAACCAGACCCTTCCGGAAAAGACGCAATGTCAGTAAATTCACAGATACTTTTAAAAGATACCATTCGTGAAGAACAATTTAAATCATTATTATAAAACAAACGACTTATACAGATTAAAGATGGGACGCAGGAAGGTAGTTGTGACATCAACTTTCTGTGTTCATTCAAAATTGCGTCCAAGCAGTGCTTTCAGCGCTTTGATTAAATATCATAAAAATCATGATAGCTCTGTTCAGCAATACTGTGATAAAGTACAAGTAGGTAGACTAGATTTTGAAGGAGATGACGGAATTTCCTCGCTGATGACGGACACATCATATATGATTTCTGAGTCAGGTGAAATAAACAAATGACAAATGTCCTAGAAAAATTATCAGGAAGAAATTACGTCTCGCCCGAGGATCAAACCAACATCTAAATGAGAAGCTTAAATCGAGCACTAATTACTCTACATACCTTGCGGCACTCTGAGGGTTGGTTATCATATCCACAGCCTGTTGACTGGATCTGAACCTGCCAGTAATGTTCCATATCTGATGCCATGTTATACGTACATCCTCCGTCAAAGTTGTACATAACGCCGTCAAATGTCCGATGTAGTGTCCCAAAGCTAACACAATGAATATCATCGGCGTCATTGCTGGTCTCTATTTGATATAGATGACATAACATAATTTGATATACATTTTATGTAAAATATTCCGTGTGTTGTATTTGCAAACTTCGGTCTTTACCGTACATAAAATAATTTCCCTGTATAATACCGTAGATGCTCAGGGACCTATTGGCGCTTATATAAATTGTGTAAAACACAGAGAGTTGCTGGATATTTAATGAATCCGAGACCGATATGTCATCTTGAAAATATATCTAAAATATTGCCGATCTACAATTTCTAACGCCATCAAAAAGAGTTTTTGCATTTTTGACAGAAATGAAAGAGTATTCAGTTTCTTAAGAAATAAAACATATATGATATGGTCAATAAGGCCACCCACCCCAGCTATACATTGAAATTGTGTGCACGAAGAAATGACGAAGAGATGACGTCACAGAAGACAAAATGAGCCCAAACACCTCATCTCAACATTACACAGATGAGTTACCTTTCACAAAGTGTGTTTGCGTTTTATTTACCACACATGCACTGCATGTGCTTGATTTATCTGAACATTATACATGTATTTAACAAAAATAATAAAATGTACTAAACCTAGTTGACTAATTGATACAAAAAATAACTATGCGTTCACCTAATTGACTAATTGATAAAAACAATGTATTCACCTAGTTAACTAATTTGAAAATGATAATGAGTTCAAGTTGTTGACTAATTTGTATAAACAATGTGTTTACCTAGTTGACTAATTGTAAAATTAACTATGCGTTCACCTAGTTGACTTATTGCTAATTGATAGAAATTATAAGTATGTGTTCGATATAATTAAGATATATGTATCTGATATATGTATCTGATATATGTATCTGATATATGTCTATATTAGCTATATATACATATTTTAGAGTACTAACTAGATGATACATAACTACGATCGGTAATTTCCGTTTTATTACGTAATTTACGTATTGGTTCCCGTTTTTATTGACGCCTGAAATATTGAGCTACAAAGAATACAGGCAATACTGGGAACCACATACGAATGCACAGTTGAACGGAAATTACTGATTGCAAATATGGTTCCCAACTATTATTATTTGTATACAACAATGTTGCTTAACATTGGAAAACAGACCTGTATTTTATTTATTCGTGGTTTTTGTAATGTTGTTTTTTTTCAAATGCTTAAAAATTGACCAATCAGATGTTTTTGTAGGAGAAGTATTATGTTCGGAGAAGGATTTAAATTTCAAATAGCTTTGGAAATCAATTCTTACAGAAGTAAACATTAATTTCCTATTTTACAGTATATTTGAAACATGTTAAGTTGAACTTTGCTGATGACATTATATATTTTGACTTATATTACGTAAAACTATTATCGTAACTCTGTTACATATTGATATGCTTGTAATGCATTTAATGACAAATTTGAAAGAATAAGTGTTAAGTTTTTTTCAATAAGTAAGATTTACGTTGTTCATTCACAATAAAACTTTAAGTCATTGAGGTTTCTCTGTTTCTTGGCTAAATCTGATAAAACATATTTTCACCCTTCTACCAAATTCTCAATCTACTGTAAAATGAAGTGCGCATTGAAACTGTACCGGTAGAAGTTTGTTTTGTATCGTGGGGGTACATATCTTAGATTTGATTGGTACTTTGTGTAAGGATCTGTCTTAGTCCGAAGAAAAAAAATGTTATGTATCGGCCCATTAACAAATAATTGATGGGAACCATATGTTATCGCATCTAAACTGAATGACTTACCATTAACATTTATTTCTGGAGTATGAAATAATGGGTTTGTTTGTAATAAAACACTTTTTTATTGTAGAAATATCAATAATTATAAATTTAAAATAGTATTAAAAGTTTAGATACAAACATGCACTACAAGTAGGTTTTTCTACATTGACTTAAAGGCACTCCACTGAGGTGTTTTGGCACGACGAAACTGGAAATATTTTTTCGATATCAATTTTGTGTACCATTTGATTTACGTTTATACCAATAACTTATGTGCACAATTTTAGACCATTTTTTCGCTCCGATTATCTAGTATGATATTTTTTCTTGGGCAAAATGAGCCAAAAATGAAAAAAAAAATAGAAAAAGAATTGCGACGCTTTTAACATAAATCGGGGAAAGAATCCCACAAAAAAATTGACATTCAAATATATTTCATTATCAACCTTGTATAGATTCTTTTTCATTTTAAGTGTTTCACTTGATTTATGTATATATTTTTCAAATTTTATAATTTTATCCTTTTAGACCTCAGTGGATTTCCTTTAAAGTAACATTATGCCCATCCAAGTATAGATTGTCAGTTGTGAACAGGTAAAAATAAAAATCCATTTGAAAAATTATCAAGTATCCACGTCACCAGCGGATATGTCTATACATTTTGTTCAGAATGTATGAAAAAGAGTAGAGCAGTTTTTTTTCTTCTTTACATTTATATTGTTTCTGTTTTAGAATCAGTTTTATCATCGGTTATTTGTCCATAACTATTAAAAAGCCAATCGTTTGAAATATGTTACTAATTCAATTAAACTTGCCAGCGAAAAAATGAGCATAATGTCACTTTAAAATTTAATACGTAAAGATATAACGTGTATCTGTATTACTTTCTTTTTAATCTTTTTTATACCTGACTTTCTATTATACATTTAATATAAGATAAATAAATTTTGTGAAATAACAACTCGTATTAGAATCTTGACTAACTTCATAATTTTAAATTGTCAGAGAGTGTACTCCAACATTTTTTTTAATTATACGTTTTAGTTTATTCATAATTTAATCACGATTATGAAAAAGCTTTTAGCTCAGTTAAAGCACTTTCAAACCCACTTCCGATTGTTGTCACATGAGTAAACGTGGCACAATCCCTGTGTTATCTGAAGAAAGAAAATGGTAATACTAGGCCACCATTCACCGTAAGATTTATTTACCTTTTGGTGGGCAGATTGTGCAGTTCATTCCTGTTCTCCCCCACGAGCCCCCTTCAGCCTCACAACATTGTTCTTCTGTGACCTCATAGTCCAGTCCTTCAAGCTTCTCCCCGGAACATTGTTTAGTATTTTTAAAGCAGTATTGCAAATGATGAGCGGTCACTGAAGAGTATATGTTCAGTTTAATTCATTATTTACATTGTGATAGTTGCTATTTAAGTCGTTCTCCTGTGAACGAAGATTCGGTGGGTTTTTTTTATCTTTTTCATACTAGATAAAAGGATTTCAGATTTTTATCGGTATAATTCATAAAAATGATTTCTTTTCAGCTACTATACATTATTTAATATTATTATTAACGTAATTTTATAAAACTTTTTAAGTTTGACTTTTCACATTATTTTAGAATTATTGGTTGTAAATAACGAATTCCTTTCTTAACAATACTAAAGAAGAAAAAAATGTAATAATATCAATAATATAAAAAATATCAGGTAACACGAAGTTTAAGCATTTAATATATTAATATATTGGGAACGACCCAGACAAAAAGGAGTCAGGCGCGGTAACTCTTATGTGATCTTACCTGGCCTTTCGTCGCAAGACAATCCACTCATACCGTTGGTGCAGGCACAGACACCAGGGGAAACACACTCTCCGTGTAAGCATGTTGGAGTGCATACAGCTATCAGATAAAAGATAAACACAAGTTTTAAAATACAACCTAACTGTATGCTGTATAATTTTTTGCTAGAAAAAATAACTAGCACATAAATTGCACATAACATGTAAAATTATCACTTGAATCCTTTTCATAAAAGCTTGGCAGAATTTTCTTAAGTTTGACTTTCTTGAACTATTTTTGTTTATCTTGAGACAAGAAGAAGTTTTAAAGATGGAATTCAGCAGAACGACATCTTATTTTGGTAAAATAATACAAGAACGTACGTGTCAGACAATCGGTTCCTTCCCAACCACCACAACATCCTGGTATACTTTGCACCATATTCCTACAAAATATTTCTTCATAAGATATCAATACAAAAAAATCATGATGTCAACAATTTATCAAGAAATAATATATCGTGAAATAACTGTATGGACTTCGGATACGAAGCATTATATCATAGCCCGTGTTATAATGCTGCGCATCCGAACGACAAATGTGCGATAAAATCACAAAACACGACATCAACAAAAATATCTGCTCTACCTTATTATCAATGATTTGAGCCGTGTCATGACAAAACCAACATAATGGGTTTGCGACCAGCATGGATCCAGACCAGCCTGCGCATCCGCGCAGTCTGATCAGGATCCATGATGTTCGCTATCAGTTTCTCCACTTGTAATAGACTTGGTAAGCGAACATCATGGATCCTGATCAGACTGCGCGGATGTGCATGCTAGTCTGGACCCATGTTGGTCGCAAACCCATTATGTTGGTTTTGTCATGACGCGGTTCAATTTTGTTTTTTAACTTATTTTCGGCCCGTGGTACTTTTAATGTTAACATCATCTGTCTTATAATAGATTGTCAACAGTGATTTTTTTTCAAAGGACATATGAATTGAATATACATCAAACTGTTCATATGAATAGGTTTTAAAGAGAAAAGAATAGAACTTACATTTCATTATGTAGCGGTTAAAATGGAGAGAGAAAAAAGAATCAAACAAAAGAAAAAGTTTTTGACACTTACTTCCTGTAAGTACACATTCTGTTGTCTGTTTTTAAACTAAATGCGTCGGACAGGTATGCTGAAAATTCAGCTGAAGACATTGAAGAAAAGTTCGACTTTGCTTTGTCTACGTTCCATCCTTCAAGGGTTAAATCTATAAACTTGGAACATAATTGCACGGAATCTATGGTAACATACTCGTTATTGTTGCAGGTGTGAGTGTTGTCTACAGTGTATCTGTAATCAAAAAACAGAAAATCTGCGTACAGCAAACGTACTGGGATATTCAAAATATGTTCCTTATATCCGGACTTCGATTTAAGCGCAAAGAAGTAAAATAACTGGTAGACAATGAAAGACTGCCTTAAACATGTACATGTATACACTTATTATTTTTTACATAAGCACTTGGAACATCTCGCCGCAACGGAGACGAAAAAACAACATACAAGTAACATATATTCTATTTAATTTAAAGAAAACATTAATTTTGTTTGCAGTTGTTATACATACCAGTAAATGAAAGAAAACATGATGATTATAAATTATTTCAAAATCTGCGTGATAATCATTAAGATTATTGTTACTGTCAAATAATATTTTTTAAAGATAACAATGCCGGAATAGTATATATTTTATTTATTTATTAGTTTATTACAGTCTCATCAATGTACACAGTTAAAATACATATAAAATACAATATAAATGCACATTGCCAATCTATAAGATTAACAAGAGACTCAAAAGTTTACATACTAATTAGAGTCTCTACATATAAAATTTTAAAAATCTAAAATACCCTTGCTAATTTAAACCCGAGTTGCGAACTAATGATAAAATGAATCTACTGAAGTAAAGGTATAAAAATAAGAACATTTTGAAATGATCAAAACTGACAGATACCCGTTTCAATCAACCATTGTTGTTGTTTATTTAAATTTATTACTATTTTTTCTTCTTTTATATATGTTTTTTTGTTCATGCTTGTAATGATTCCTTTCCCTAACATCGTTAAAGTAAAATTCTCCGGAAGCAAGGAAAACGCCAAAAGTATGTGAAAATTGCAGACTCGGTTTGATTGAGTCTATTAGCTGGAGATACTGTAAAAATTGCAACATCTCTCAAGCTACTACGCACCGGCGTCAGCGGTATTCAATACCGATAAATTTTCCAGAAAATATAACAACACTCAAAACACATAATTTTACACACTCTTCGGTATTCAATAATTCTTACCGTTTATAACCGGAATTTAATACAAAGCGATAAAGGATGTTTGAAAGTTACTTATTTAATGTCCAGTACATGTATTTCTAGAAAAATAACGTTCCGAAATAACCAATTTGCTACGATATTGGACGATGTTAGAATTTTTTGGCGGGAAAGCATCACTGTAAGACTACCTTAATTAGATTATTTCTTTAAGCGTAATATTAACAATATTTCCTATCCAAATGGATTCAGTTTTCGTTAATTGATATAAACCGCGGCTTACATTGAAGTATAAGTAGAAAAATCACTTTGTAAGGACATATTTCTCTTTTTTTTTAATAGAGAATTGAGCGACCTTGCGGCCTTACTTCTAAATCATCAGCTAAAATATCAAATAATAAAAGGCCTAAGAAACCAGGTCCGAACATACTTTTTATCCTTTGAATAATATATAAGCTGACAAAATGTTTTGAACGACTTAAAAAATCAGTGATACAACGGCTCGGAATCAAGTTATAAATGTTTTTGAAGCCTATGCACTCAAATGCCTCTAAAATAGTTCGAATTGTATACAATACAATAAGAGCGATTCTTATTGGAGTTTTAAAGACGTTGTATATTCTAAATGCTAAATAAGCAGCAAAAAAGAGTTTGAAATAAGGTTTTCATTTTATTATTGTATATCACAGATCTAATAACAAGTGGTAGTTTTAGCTAATTTTTCGGTTATTTTCAAATATTTAATGGCCCTAGTGTTCTTTTTATTTTATTTATTATTCTTTCACAAAAGCTTTTCATTTATGGTACCCCATAGTAGTTCGCCAACTCACTGGTCATTTTTTTACCAATTAGTACAATTAAAGTAATTTAGTATTTGTATGGAAGTCAAAATACTAATTTGTTTACAATTTGCTAATATTTTGACAAATGATTTCACTTTTAGCAGTTATTTAAGTTAATAACCATCTTACATGCTCTTAGATTATTATTTTACCGTTACGGAGCTTATAATAACACTTTCTAAAGAATTAAAATTGTACTCGTCTCTAAGGCATAATGTACCTAAAACCAAGCTGATACTTACAATAAGAAATTCTAATATATATACAAACTCAACACTTGTTATGTAGATTTTAAAATCCTGAACATTTTTACCTAGTATATAACATTAACGGATTGAAAGTGCCTGAGCTGCATTTTAGTTTGACATCATTATTTTTATCAAGAATTATCATGTCGGAACAAAATGGAAATTAAATGACTACATCAGTGAATCTAGCAGATCATACGAAAAATAGCGACAATCTGCAAAAAAATATTTCGAAAGCCTACTAAAATGCTAGCACGTTACTAAGACATTGTAAGCAATAGCTTATATCTTATTTATTTATTTATTTATTTATTTATTTATTTTTTTAATTTATTTATTTATTTTATTTATTTATTTATTTATTTATTTTTCTTTTACAAAGATTGCCTATTTCAATAAAGTAAAACCGTTGTCACTATTCATAAGTATAGGATATCTAATAGATTTAGTTGTTCTTTAAAAAAAAACTAACCATGAAATAAGTTTTATATAAACTGCAATTTACTTACATCAAAGTCGGCGTTAGTGAAAGGAGTAAAATATAAGGCAAAATGCCCATGGTAGCCGCCGTCATCCGAATCGTCCTTTACTTTTCTCCCTATATGCCCGTTTTATTTTTATATTCTATCAAAACACGAAAATATTAAACTTTCCTCTTATGTATCTAGACGACCACAACTCCGCCGTTTAGTTGGCGTGTGCTGTGTTTTATACTAATCAAGTGAGCCATATGTCGAGAACATCCGGGCATATCAGCACCATTCTGAATTTTCATTGGTCTAAAGTGTGTGACAAATGTCACCTTGGCATCAGGTTATTGCCGCGTGATTCGGGTGCTTCTCGCCTCCGTGAAATATTTGTTTCCCTAAAACGGTATTTCTGAAATTTGATAAATGAGATATATTGATGCTTGTCACTGTTGACTGTTCTCAGGTGACACCCGATCTATAACTTCTGTTACCCGATAATCGGAACCTAATCTTGCTGGAGAGGGCCTGGTACGTCATGATTGTTCGATTAAAACATTTAGATGAAAAAGTTATCTAATAGGTCCATTCATCATTTAAATTATATAAGGTTGCCTTTCGTTATGAAATATCCATTTTCAACAGTCTGGTGTAATTAGCAGTTAATACATGTATATACAAAGTTATCATGTGCTTCGGAACTCCAAAACGCATTTTGATTTCCGAATCGGCCTACACCCGAAATGCCTGATACCGTTGAGTGATACCGAATGCTTTTTCAATCTTTTACATAATTGTGTAGAACTTTGTAAAATCACTATATAAATGATACTTTAAAGACAGAATTAGTCAGTATTACTAGTATATAAAACGCACAATATGCATATCATTATACCTTTTCCGTATCCAATGTACATGGGTTATCTATCGGTTAATTTCAAGACCACTACAAAAGAAAAAAAAACTTACAACACGGTAAATTGTTTATTTCTCAATGTCTGTTTATATAGGGTTAACGCACGTTTTTCCGTGTTATAACGTCTGCAGAGTCCCGAGGAACGGTTGGTGCCCGAGCCCGGTAGGGCGAGGGCTCCAACAGTTCCGAGGGACTCTGCAGACTTTATAACACGAAATAAACGTGCGTTGACGCTATTATAGCATAAAATTTTCAAACAGATTTGTGATGTATAGTTTATACAAAACACAATTGCATTAAAGTCTTGAGCTTGGACGGTATTTATCCAATTCTATGTTTTACGTATGCGTTTCATTTTTCCGGGGCCAACAACTTGGAAAATTCTCGGAACCGAACGAAATTTTGAATTTTAATTGATTTAACAAAGCTTGGCCTTTGGAGATTTATTATCTCAAGAAAAAAAACGTTACATTACTCTACCCTCTACCCAAGACAAAACATGACCCTCAGAAATTCTTAGAATGATTTCAGATTGACGGTAGAAAAAGGATCAGTGACATCAGAATCGGTTTTTGTTTCAAGCAAACAAGTTTATAAAAAAAATCAGGCACTAAGCATTATTCTCTCAAAGAAATATAAAGAGCATTTATCAACATTAACATAAATAAAAACATTTTCTCATATTAATTTTGTGTTATCTAGTTTTGTAAGTTAATCGGAGTGTTAAACTGAATGACAGGTAGATTCTACTGTATTTGTTTACATTGACAACTGTCCGTTTCTTAGAAAGGGCGACAACCAAGATTAGCACCGATGTCTATACGCCGTTTTTCCGGCATAGTTACTTGAATATGCGACTGAGGCCCTCGAATCAATAAATTTCAATATAACAAGAGCGCATGACTCTTCGGCAAACAGGCCAAATCGTCATTTTTTGTTTATTTGTTTACTGGGCCCTGTATGTATTGCGCATAGGTGAAACCGGGCTATAACAAGAGCGCGTGACTATGTTAACACATGGTTTTGGTCCCGTTATAACATGGGCAAAAGAGGGAAAAATAGTCGATTTTATGCTATAATACTAGTTATTTGAACAGTTGCACAATTTCAGTATAGCTATAGTTTTATATAATTTCAACAACCAAGCTCCGGCATGATAAGTTTCCGACTAATAGAATATTGACAGATACTCTATGAATGCAAGCCGTTCCAACAAGCCTGGCTTTAAAAAATGAGGAAATGTATAAAATCATTTCGTTTTTGTCGAGTGAAAATTTTACTGAATTACGTTGACGTCGAAATGACGTCATGACTTGCGCGGCGACGTCTGTGCTGCATGTACTCAATCATAAACGTATGAATAATTTGATCATGTAAAATGGGAATACATTGATTTTACTTATGAATAGATTCAAAAACGTTTTAATGACTATGTGTGTCATGTTATAAAAGTATTGTTTTAATCTATAATGCAAGAAACTACAAAAAGTGTAAAAAAAGGTTATTGAATGGTTTTTCAGTAGCAATATATAATTTGTATATTCATTTTCTCTCTCAATTGTAATACTTTTTTCAACCTATGTAAATCTATATCAAGATTGCTTTCTGAACTAACCAGTACTGATGTCATAACTATAAAATAAGAGGAAGTTTGACCGACGAAATCTTGCTTAAGAGTCAAAGACATTAATAACTTGGCCACCACTCCCCATTACCTGTGTTGTTCTGATATAATGTGCATTTATTTAATATATAATTGAACTTTGTATATATCAGATGTTCACCGTGTGTTCACAATGATTACATGCAGATTTTTTTTTCGTCCAATTGCAAATATTGCAAATAAATTGTGCAATGCTCTCTCAAATTAATAATTCTACTTCTTTATCAGCAATAATTCAGCATGAAATAAGTACATAAAAGATCTGTATATTCCTAGTGTTTGATATGCCTAAAGTGTCGCGGTAACATCTGCATCTATCAATGTTTGTTTTATCAGATAACGTTTGTACGCCGTCAGAGTCTTTATTTCAATATATTGACCAATTATAAAAGGCACCAAGTTAATGAGAAGAAGTAAAAAAAATAGATACCATTCTGCTTTATCGTTTCAATGGTGCTTTGTAAACATGGGCATGCGACATATGTTGTAACTAACTTGTTTGTCAATCTCTATGCAATAAAAGTTTATTTATTTTAGGCGGGAAAGATATGGTGTAGACGACAATATCTGGGGTTTATTATGTTCTCTTTTTTGTATTTTTTGTCTTCAATTTATGGAACAGCTTGTTCAGGTAATCCCTAAAAGTATTTCTCTGCTATAAACAGGGGAAAATAATCGACTGGCTCCCTGTCAGCGTCTATGAATATTCAGTAGGTTTTTTTTGTAACGCACTAGTAATTGTTGTTGTTTTGTTTTTAAATTTCTGTCGCAATTCTCGTGCATGTACTTATATTAAAATTAAAGGGACTCCACTGAGGTTTTTGACATGACGAGACTGGAAATATTTTTTCGAGATTAATGCCCAGTTTGATGTAGGTCTAGATCAGTAACTTGTGTGCAAAATTTTAGATAATTCGCTTTCGCAGTTTATCCATGATAATTATTCAAATTGTGAAAAATGACCCAACATTGAAAAGCGTTTAAACGCTTTTCACTCCAATCATATTAAAAATAGCACAAAATACGCGTTTTAATTCATTTTTGAGTATATTTCTTAATTATTTGTTGCATGTCTTCCTGTTTTGCGTGCCTCAGCTGATCTGGGTAAAAAAAAAATTCTATGCTTTTACTCAAGTTTTAGGTTTTTGAACCTCTGTGGAGTTCCTTTAAGTGAGAGAATGTATGATTAGGTACATTTGTACAGTTATACACAAGTATGGGTATATTTGCACAGAACGAAGCACATCAGTTAACTATGGATTGTAAATTATACTGACATCAAAGTAAAAAAAAGTACATCATTAAACATAATACTTTGGTTAAAAGCTATGGCCAATAATGTAAAATATGTGTACGTTGATCTAACCTTTACGCCGCTTAAATTTTGCCTGTCTTGTAAAGAGAGATAAACAGATTTCAGTACATGTACATGTATAAATAAAAACACAGCAACTATATTTTAAAAAGGTGACAGTGTATTATAGTCTGTACGAGTGTCGGATAGTTGTTTTCCTACACAAAATGTTACGATTTTCTTCTTTCTTTTATCAATGACAGGTATTTGCGCATAAATACTATACCTGAGATAACATGTTATCTATGTTTCTGTCAATACATAGCAATAACAACTTGTTTGTATTTTATTTAACATTTAATTGTGTATATACATATATATAAACACATTAATAGTATATAAAGCGCTTAATAAAAGCATTTTATAATATTTCAATAGCTGAGTATGATTGGAGATTAGGTTTTTGTTTTTATTGTCTGTTTACATTAATAACGAAATTGTGTTCATAACAAACATTTTATTTATGTTACCAAATTTAAAGCTTTTATAAAGATTTACGACACGCATTACAATTAGCACAAAAAATTTGGCTGTAAATTATTGACATCTGGTCGGTAAATTTATAAATACGAGTAACAGACCGCGTTTTATATTACAAGTTTAGATAATTAGAAAACAATACAATAAATAATGGCATGTTTAGGAGAATATTATAAATACTAGATTCTGTAGAATGAGATATATTTTATATCAGGATGATATAGGTGATATGATCAACTTGATCTTGTAAAATGCACAGCTAGTGCTTCTGTTTAATTCTTTAGAAATGTAAAACATGTGTGACGTTTTGCTCATTTTTTCACTGTCGCGTTGAATTAGTAATATATTTCTAAAGAATGTCTTTCTTTATGGTGATTGGTCAATAATACTTATTGATATTAAAAAGTGTTCAGGATAAGATAGAAAAACTACCTAAATTATAAAAACAAACTGCCCCACGCTTTTTAAAAGTTGAACATTACCAATGTGTGTATGTAGTCTATGTTTCATAAGGGTCCAACCGCCTGTAAAGGCATAAAAAGTAGCGTTTGCTGTCGAGGACGAACCTAGGGCATGCCGACAGTCATTCATTAAAGCACAAAAGTGTTGATAATTTATCTTCATGTAATTTCCATAGAAGTCAAGATATGAATTCTGAGCCAAATGTAGGTAAGTGTACGGTAGTCAATGAGAACCTAAATGTACAGTCACCTAAGACAATAATGAGAGGTAGCCCTTATAAGGGCTGTTGGTGCCAAGAAAAGGGTCTGCCTTACAAGCAGTCATTCGTACTAGAGACTCACGCACCCTGGTACACCAT